ATACCTACCTAGCATGTGCCAGCAGTACCTGCCTAGCATGATTCACTAGTACCTGTCCAGCATGGCTCAATAATACCTGCCTAGCATGTGCCAGCAGTACCTGCCTAGCATGATTCACTAGTACCTGTCCAGCATGGCTCAGTAATACCTACCTAGCATGTGCCAGCAGTACCTGCCTAGCATGATTCACTAGTACCTGTCCAGCATGGCTCAGTAATACCTGTCTAGCATGTGCCAGCAGTACCTGCCTAGCATGATTCACTAGTACCTGTCCAGCATGGCTCAGTAATACCTGTCTAGCATGTGCCAGCAGTACCTGCCTAGCATGATTCACTAGTACCTGTCCAGCATGGCTCAATAATACCTGCCTAGCATGGGCCCGTACCACAAAATCTACAGAACCAGAAAGCCTACTGTAGCACTCCTCTGTTCTCATTATTAATTCTGCAATGTTATGAGTTAACATTCTCCACTTCCACAAATGTTGAACAACATGTTATCAGAACAACACTAATAAAAGCGGTCAGCTAACAATGGAATGCGATAATCTATCGATAAGTTTCGAAACACTGTTTACATGACTTGACATAAATTTCTAAACTATTGTGACTTAAAAATACGTATTTCTTTGACTAGATGATATTAATTAAGTGGAGATTATGTGACTTATTGATCTGCTAAGTAATGGAAAGGAAACAGTGACTCTGGTAGGATAAAGGGACAGATATATAGTCGACATGATAACGCAGACATGCGGATAATATCTTGATTATTACCAGGAATGTGAGACATCAGTGGAGTGTGTTTAGTAGAAGTGAGAGAGAGTTTGGCTGCAGGTGGTGTTGGGAGAGACACTTCCATACCGCCATCTACACATTAATATGTTGTCCAGCGCTGGCATTACCATGAGGAACACCTGTAAACCTCTCAAACTTCGCCACTCAGATATTGCTGGTAGGTGTTTGTTCACGTTTGGCTTTAATTTAATAAGATATTACAAGGATCCCAATGGAAATAAGTCAGTGTTTTTTTTTCGGGGAGGTTATCCTGGAGTTTACCTGGAGAGAGTTCCGGGGATCAACCCCCCCGGGGCCCGGTCTGTGACCAGGCCTCCTGGTGGATCAGAGCCTGATCAACCAGGCTGTTGCTGCTGGCTGCACGCAATCCAACGTACGAGCCACAGCCCGGCTGGTCAGGTACCGACTTCAGGTGCTTGTCCTATCTTAATTTATTGCGAAGTCTAGCTCTAGGCTACCACCCCTCCCCCAGGATGCTACCAACAAGAGTCAACTAACACCCAAGTCACTCCTGTCCCGTAGCTGGGTTGGTAGCGCACTCAGCTCGCACATCGAGTGTCCTTGGTTCGATTCCCGGTACGGGTGGAATCACTGGGGCGTATTTTCTTAAGACACCTGCTGTCTCTGTTGACCTAGCAGTAAAATATGTACCTGGGTGTTAGCGGACTGGTGTGGGCGGCATCCTGGGGACAAAATTCACCTAAGTTGCGGAAAATACTCAGCATAACAAGGGATTTTCTATACAGCAGTATGTCATTGGTGTGAGCTATGGTCTGTATAAGTTGTACCATGTACTGGGAGAAATAAACATTATTATTACTATTATTATGCCCCCGGATATATTCTTCGATGGTATACAATAAGAACATAAGAGAGAATGAACACTGCAGCAGGCCTACTGGCCCATGCGAGGCAGGTCCAAGTCTCCTACCGGCTTAAGCCAATGCCTTAACCTAGTTAGGTCAGGTGTAGAGCTGGAGGAAGCTAAGAGAGGGATACAACCTCATAGCTTCCTCCAGCTCTACGAGGCTGTATCTCCCTCTTAGCTTCCTCCAGCTCTACGAGGCTGTATCTCCCTCTTAGCTTCCTCCAGCTGTACGAGGCTGTATCTCCCTCTTAGCTTCCTCCATCTGTACGAGGCTGTACCTCCCTTTTAGCTTCCTAAAAGCTCTAAGCTGTGACCTCCCTTAACATTCCTTGTACAACTTACGCTAAATAAATAAATAACTGAGCGAGGCTTATCTCTGGGTCCCTTCAAATACAGATCGGACGAGTGTGTGAGTTCGACGTGCCTAGGATGGGCCAGTAGGCCTACCGCAAGTGTTCCATCATTCTTATTATTGTATAAATGGTTTAGAAAACGAACAGGTTGATAAATAAGACACTTGTACAACATTTGGGTAACTTTATTGTGAAAGTTAAGACACATGTGCAAAAATCTGGATATCTTTATTGTAGACGTTTCGCCATCCAGTGGCTTTATCAATACAGATTCTTGGACATAATTAGAAGACAGTAGAACTATATGCAAAAGATGAGCAAAATGGTATACAATACCGACAGGTTGGTAGGTAAGACACATAGGCAACAGTTAGGCAACTTTATTCCGAAACGTTTCGCCTACACAGTAGGCTTCTTCAGTCGAATACAGAAAGTAGGCAGGAACAGTAGAGATGTGAAGACGATGTAATCATTCCATCACCCTTGAAGTCGTAGAATTTAAGGTTGTCAGTCCCTCAGCCTGGAGTTCAGTTCCATAGGTAGTTCCTGACTATGGAACTGAACTTCTCCAGGCTGAGGGACTGACAACCTTAAATTCAACGACTTCAAGGGTGATGGACTGATTACATCGTCTTCACATCTCTACTGTTCCTGCCTACTTTCTGTATTCGACTGAAGAAATCTACTGTATAGGCGAAACGTTTCGGAATAAAGTTGCCTAACTGTTGCCTATGTGTCTTACCTACCACAAAAGATGAGGTAATCAGTCCTTCAGCCTTGGAGTTAGTGTTCACAGCATCGTGGTGGTGGAGAATCTGGAGCAAAGGCAAGAAGACTGGCGGTCATATAGGCGTCAGTGGATAGGGACGTGTAGCAGACGAGGACATAGTCACTGGTAGGCGGGATTTCCCAGTGAAAGTAGGTCCTTCCCAAAATGATGGGTTAGGGTGATGGACTGATTACATCGTCTTGACATTAGTTTTTATGTTCTTGTAGTTCTGAGTGGGTGTGGGTGGGTGTGAGTTAGAGCTGCCCAGCATGGGCCATTAATATGGTATAGGCCAGTAGACCTACTCAAGTGTTGATCCACTCTTATTGTCTACCTCAGTAAGCTGTACATTATTTACTACTACTACTGCTACTACTACTACTGCTACTACTACTACTACTACTACTACTACTACTACTACTACTACTACTACTGCTACTACTACTACTGCTACTACTACTACTACTACTACTACTACTACTACTACTACTACTTTTCTGTGGCTGAGGTGTAAGGGGGCTAGACTTGATATTAACAGTCTGCAGTTACGTTCCGGCCAATTACTACGTGTTGTACCACTTACGGTCAGACCAGTTACTACGTGTTGTACCACTTAACAGTCAGACCAGTTACTACGTGTTGTACCACTTACGGTCAGACCAGTTACTACGTGTTGTACCACTTACGGTCAGACCAGTTACTACGTGTTGTACCACTTAACAGTCAGACCAGTTACTACGTGTTGTACCACTTACGGTCAGACCAGTTACTACGTGTTGTACCACTTAACGGTCAGACCAGTTACTACGTGTTGTACCACTTACGGTCAGACCAGTTACTACGTGTGATGAATGGTTTTGAAAACCGACAAGTTGAAGAATTGAGACACTTATGCAACATATGGGAATCTTTATTGAAGAAACGTTTCGCCACACAGTGGCTTCATCAGTCCAATACAAAGTAGAAGTGGGTAAGGAGAGTGGAAGTTTGAGGTAATCAGTCCCTCAACCTGGAATCGATGTGTTCAGTCCATCACTCTTGAGGGACTGATTACCTCAAACTTCCACTCTCCTTACCCACTTCTACTTTGTATTGGACTGATGAAGCCACTGTGTGGCGAAACGTTTCTTCAATAAAGATTCCCATATGTTGCATAAGTGTCTCAATTCTTCAGTTACTACGTGTTGTACCACTTAACAGTCAGACCAGTTACTACGTGTTGTACCACTTAACAGTCAGACCAGTTACTACGTGTTGTACCACTTAACAGTCAGACCAGTTACACGTGTTGTACCACTTAACAGTACAGACCAGTTACTACGTGTTGTACCACTTAACAGTCAGACCAGTTACTACGTGTTGTACCACTTAACAGTCAGACCAGTTACTACGTGTTGTACCACTTAACAGTCAGACCAGTTACTACGTGTTGTACCAGTCTACAAAGTTCTATAAAGATCAGTTGAAATTTGTGCTGGATATACTGTAAAAACTATCGAGAGATCGTGTTTCAACACAAGCTTAAAGGTTAGGTATCTTATTCCGAAACGTTTCGCTTCAAAGCAGGCTTCTTCAGTTAAATACAGAGGCAGCAGAAGCAGTAGATATGTCAGGACGATGTAATCAGTCCATCACCCTTGAAGATGTAGTTTATATTACAACTGCTCACTTTATATTTGTAGATTAATGGTTCAGAGAACCGACAAGTTGATAAATTAGACACATGTGCAACACTTGGGTATTTTAATAAGGAAACGTTTCGCCACAGTGGCTTCAACAGTCCATACACAGGAGAATGGTGAAGAGCAGGGGTTGGAGGTAATCAGTCCCTCAACCTCGAGTCTATGTGATCACTCCATCAATCTAGAAAAGAATACAGCATATGTGGGAAGAAGTAGCTTATATACCGTAGGCAGGAGAGGTGCAGCAGTCGTAAGTGGTATCACATTTGACCAATGTGGAAGTAGGTCGTGCCCAAGGGTTAGGCAAGTGAAGAATTCCCTGTATTAAGATCCCAAGATGTTCCTGTGTCAGACAGGAATATCTTGGTGGAGGTGAACATTAAAACAATAAAGATATAGAGTTCTACGCAATGGTAAACAAAATATTAGTGTGACATTTAACTTGGGCTCAGGAAATGAACGTGTCTGAGCGGAAGCAGACGTGTTCTATACACTGACTCATGGTAATGTTCTGTCTTTGTCTGTCTCCAGAGTGTGGGGTGGTTCGATTCCCGGTTCTCTTGGTTCTTGGCCCCAGAGAATGAATTATTATTTTTCCCACATTGTGTCATTGGACCCAAGTGGAAATAAGCAAGGATCCCAATGGAAATAAGCAAGGATCCTAATGGAAATAAGCAAGGATCTCAATGGAAATAAACAAGGATCCCAATGGAAATAAACAAGGATCCTAATGGAAATAAACAAGGACCCCAGTGAAATTAAACAAGGACCCTAACGGACATAATCAAGGATCCTAATGAACATCAAGGACACAAAAGGAAATAACAAAGGACCCAGCAGAAAACAGGAACGCCAGGGGAAATAAGTCACCTTTGACTGTTTTGAGTTATCCTATGCAATATACACACACGCTACTATATATGATAATTTGTGTAAATGTACTTATTTGTGTACCTGTACCTAAATGAACTTGGGCAGTACAAATAAAAAAGAGGATAATTTTAGAATGGTCGGCCATTGTTGACGTCAGATAATCAGCTGAGTGAGAACAACATCAACAAAGTCAGTGTAATGTAGCCTTTTGTGACGTCTACACACGCTGTTCTCCATGATTTTTGAGTGATCTGAACCTCCAAGATGAACCCTGCCAACCTGGGACAGTGCCATAGGAGGAGAGGGTCACGAGATGAGAGAGTGGAGGTCAAGGAGGAGGTGGAGGCCAGGGTCACTGCTGGTGGTCAGGGGGAGGAGACGAGGGTAGGAGGTAGCCTGGGTGATCTGTCATGTCAGCCAGCTGGTGTGTCATGTCAGCCAGCTGGTGTGTCATGTCAGCCAGCTGGTCTGTCGTACTGCCCAGATAATCAATTCCACCATCAAGCTGACCTACCCCACCATCAAGCTGACCTACCCCACCATCAAGCTGATCTACCCCACCATCAAGCTGACCTACCCCACCATCAAGCTGACCTACCCCACCATCAAGCTGACCTACCCCACCATCAAGCTGACCTACCCCACCATCAAGCTGATCTACCCCACCATCAAGCTGACCTAACCTACCAGGGTGAGAAGGACGAGGCTCATTTCCATAAACCCCAAACCTCACATAGGACTATGCCGCGGAGGCCCATCAGCGCACGTAACAAGCGAGGCCGATCTGGTTCCTGGTCTGGGGTTACCGAGAGCGAAGACGGTTTGTTGACTCACTTCGTCAATGCATGGTGCCTCCGGTAGTCTCTGTGCTGTATATTGCCTTTGTTGATGATGTGCGTATAGTGTATGTGGGATCTTAGCTTTTTAATTGGGAAGCGTCTGGTTGGCTAGCAACTGGATAATGGTTCGTTAAAGGCTGTTTATATGACAGTTGAGTATCGACTGGTTAATAGGTTAAGTTAGGTTACACATACTTATGAAAGCAGGTGGTGTAAGTGGTATTGGTGGTATCGGCAAGATGTAGGTGAGAGATACACCGATTAAGACATTTATAAAGGAAATGTTTCATCACAAGTATCTTAGTACCAACACAGAGACAACTCGGCTTACACACACTGTGGTCCGGGGGTTGATCCCCGGTATGGCTGGAAACATTAGGACATATTTCATTAAGACACCTGCCGTCCATGTTCATCTAGCAGTAAAATAGGCACCTGGGTGTTAGTGGACTGGACTGGGTTGCATCCTGGGGACAAAATTGACCTAATCTGCCCAAAATGCACTGCATAAAATGGGGCTTTCTATGTAGCAGTATGTCACTGATGTCAACTGTGGTCTGTATACCTAGTACATATACTACTAGTAGAATTAAATATTATTATTATTATTATTATTATTATTATTATTATTATTATTATTATTATTATTATTATGTCTATCAAAGTGGCTCAATTTCAGCAGTATATATATTTGGGTAACTAGACATTGTTCACATAGAATTGCCCTTTTAATTATAATAAGTGAGACATTTATGTCTGCCTCTGGTGTGGGTGTTTCCTTCCAACCTCAGCATCTGCAACTTCTTCCCAAATCCTTTTTTTTTTGGTGGGGGAGGGGAAGGAGGGGATGATTGTCTTTGTTATTTTTTACTTGCTAGGCACATTAGCTTTTTCATATTGTGGTTATATGTCCCACTGTAGGGGGAAGCAAATTTTTGCTGACTTTGAAGGGAAAAGTGTTACACTCTTCATTTTGTTGGAGTTTAGTGTGTCAGATCCACCACTTCTAATTTGTTTCCCCTCATATTTATGGATACATGTCACAAATAACCCACACATAGGACCATTAACTAGCTGGACTGCAGCGTCATCATAGATTTCGCCTATATTCAGGTTATTTGTGTATTGTTTCAGTCACAGTGTTGTGCCTTTTTATTCTTTATGGACACTTGTCCCAGTTTTCTTTCTGCCCAAATTAGGCAGTTTTCCTTCCTGTACTTTGTCATTAGCTTTTAAAACCCTAATAACAATAACATCACAAGTGCAACTTATGTGACATTTTATTGTGGCAACGTTTCGCTCTCCAGGAGCTTTGTCAAGCCGTTACCTGGAGAGCGAAACGTTGCCACAATAAAATGTCACATTAGTTGCACTTGTGTCCTTTTACTTTACATATTGTTGATAATTCTACCAACATTATTACAACAATAACATCAACTTAAGCATAGTGACTCAATTTGTACGCTTTGGGAAGTAATGACATGTTCGCTGTAAATTACAAGATTCTCATTACCTGCAGTATTTTTGCAGTGCATTATTCATTACATATATATAAATGAATAACTTTGACATAGAGGTTTGTAATTTGGAAATAGGCAGGTTAGAATTCTAATAAGTTAATCTACTGAGGTTTTGTACACAGGCAAGGATGCTTAATACTGTATTAAATACCAGTACTGTATATCAATACTGATATTAATAATAGTAATCTTTATTTCTACAACTAATACAGACCTAGCTGACATCAGTAGCATACTATATAGAAAAACTCTGGTTATGCAGGTAACTTTATGTAATCATGTTCCCCAGGATGCGACCCACACCAGTCGACTAACACCCAGGTAGCTACTTGCTGCTAGGTTAACAGGACAACAGGTGTAAGGAAACACGTGCAGTGTTTCCACCTGTGTGTTTCACACATACATACTATTCTAGTAGACTTAATAGTTGTAATAATGCTTTAGTGTGAAGACGTTGTGTAAGAAATGGCAAAGCAGGTATAATATAACTTCCATATTAATTCATCAGACTAATTATACTGTACAAAATGTTGTTTGCAAGAGCTACAATATAGCTCCTGGCCCCACCTGTCAAACATGTATTAATACTTCTCACATTATAAACATCTGATATTTGTGTAAATACTTTAGAAAACCGACAAGTTGATAATTATCTAATATGTTGGAATTATCTACATTAGATATACTGTATCTTGATAAGGATTTCTTTGATAACTCTGTATATATACAACATTACAAAAATTTTCTCCTACATGTATGGTAATGTAGATAACAGTTTATTGAACTTAAGGGAATATGACTACTGTAATTGAAGGTCATATAGTAATAATTCTTTCCATTGTTTGCCTGGTGTTGTTTTATCTTAAGTAATTTATATGAGAGTATTTTAATAGATTGTAGGAAAGCTTAATGGTCCTTAAGGAAACCTGGCAATAATTCAGTTAACCCTTGAATGTATTCCAGTAACATGTACTATAGTACTAATAATACTAATACATTTAATGTTTTTTGTTTTTGAAGAGTTTGTGCACTGTGATAACTGCAGAATTTTTATTTAATTGAATAACTCTTGTGATAAAATTAATATAATTCTAGAGCTGGAGAAGATGGCACAAGCATTGGGACAGGCTCCACCCAAGATCAAAGTGACAATGGCTAACCACGGTGGGGGTTCAAATTACGGCTCAATTGCATCCAGCGTGAGCAGCATTGGGCACTGCAATCACCTTGATGATTCCACCACTACAGATACCACAACAGGACTCTTCAACTCTGAGATAACTGCAGACACCATGAGACGTAGGCTCAAGTAAGGACATTGTTCTTTGATTTACAACATCTATGTACTGATATAATTTTTGCCCAATATTTGTTATACAGTAATAAATAATTTGTTTACTACAAGTTAAATAATGTTTTTTTCTGTTCTACTTTCTTATTTCCTCTCTTTTATTTGTAGCTATGTTATAAGATGCATGCAAAGCAGTTAAGCTTTTGTTTCTCCACAGGTTCTTTTTCATGAACCCCAAAGAAAAATGGCATGCTCGACGACGTTTTCCATGGAAGCTTTTGCTCCAAGTAATTAAAATCATTGTTGTGACAGTACAGGTGAGGATTTTTTCTTCTTGCTTAAGCAGATAGTAAGAGATGTTTAATACAAGGTTGCTTTTCATACTGTAGGAAGCCATTGTATGAGGTAATAGAGATACTGTATTACAATACTGCAGATAATTGGCAGAGTACCATACATTGCCAAGGTGAGGGGGAGGGGATTAAATCAGCCCTCCCTCAAAATTCCCTGAGCCCCTACAGAACTTCCTCCAATAAAAATGGCAATAATAATGATGCTGATTTAAAACACATCTCCAGCTCCCCCATTCCTGCCAGAAAGCGACCCCCTAACCCCTCCCAGCATAGAAGTTCTGACTCGACTCCTGCATTGGTACTACAGCATTGTTCATGTGTATCCCCTGTGCTTCAGCTGTTCCTGTTTACAACATTATTCATGTAAATTCCCGTGTTTCAGCTGTGCCTGTTTGCCGAGCAACGCTTCAATCATGTAAATTATCTATGGGACACCAAAATCTCATTTTCTCACTTATTCATCAAGAACTGGGATACATCAAGGGAAATACAAGTATATCCTCCAGCTGGTGGTCCATTAGCTGTTTATAAGCAGTCGGAGTTCTTTGCTTTCTTAGATTATGCAATAACAACGGTAAGCTTTACTTTAAAATACGTATACTACAGTAAATTTTTGAAGTGGATTAATAGGGGAATTGTCTGAATGTCTATTAATAGGGAAATTGTCCAAGTGTCTGTTAGGTAAAAGGATACAAGTGCAACTAATGTGACAGTTTATTGTGGCAGTGTTTTGCTCTCCTGGAGCTTTGTCAAGAGAAACATTGCCACACTAAAATGTCACATTAGTTGCACGTGTCCTTTTACCTAACATATTTATACAGGATTGTGATTTATTACTAAATCGCAATAATGTTAAAAAAAGCACCTAAGTACGTGTACTCTTCTATATATACCAAATTTAGTATTTCACAGTTATATTGCAATAAACAGTGAAAATAAAGAAGTTTAAAGTACCAGTACAACTTTTCTATTTCTTAAAAGGCTGTTATATAGGGGTCCAATATATTAAAGGTTTACTATACAGTAAATTGTACTTGGCTTCCGTTACAGTATTTTGAGATGTCTTGGGATAGATTGTTGCTGTTGTTTTTTATCCAGCATAACTTTCTCACGTGTAAAATGGAAGCCTGTAATTGTTTTACATGATGGTAGGATTGCTGGTGTCTTTTTCTGTCTCATAAACATGCAAGATTTCGGGTATGTCTTGCTACTTCTACTTACACTTAGGTCACACTACACATGCATGTACAAGCATATATATACACACACACCTCTGGGTTTTCTACTATTTTCTTACTAGTTCTTGTTCTTGTTTATTTCCTCTTATCTCCATGGGGAAATGGAACAGAATTCTTCCTCCTTAAGCCATGTGCGTTGAGAGGTGACTAACATGCCGGGAGCAAGGGGCTAGTAACCCCTTCTCTTGAATATATTTGTTTTTCCTTTTGGGCCACCCTGCTTTGGTGGAATATGGCCAGTTTGTTAAAAAAAAAAAAAAACTTGCTCACAACTATCTAATAAACTGGAGACATAACTAGATGATGTTACAGTGCACCTTGGACCACTGTCAAGTTCACTAGCAATTTGATTGTTGTCCAGGAGAAATGAAAACTGTCCAATTTCATTTTCAATTTGTTTGTTAGTCATAAGTTGTTCCAACCGCAGTAGGCACTCCTCATCTTACAATGGGGCTATGTTCCCATGAACCCATCGTAAGTTGAAAATATTGTAAGTTGAATATGAATATGATAATGTGATAAATAAATAAATAAATAAATGCTATCACTAAATAAGTAAATAAACAGATACCGTAATTACTGTAACCAAAAGAGTTTCTTCTTTTTTCGGGTCAGCCCTCGGTGGGAAATGGCCAATGTAGCATGTTCATAAAAAACAACAACTAAATACCAGTACTGAGAAGTAGATAAATGAATACAAGTTACGGACTTTCCTCCTTCGTGTTTGGTAATTATCTCGAGTTTCATCTCCAAAGTAATTGCTTTTGCGCCATTGTAAAGTCAAAATATTGTAAGTCAAAGCATTGTAAAGCGAGGATCAACTGTATGTTCTTTCCTTGAGTGATTTGTTGTTTTTTCAGGGCTAATTATTTAATAGTCATTTTACCTTCTTACTTAAGTAAATGTTTGTTTTTATGCAGTAGATTGAGAATCAGATGGCTATTATAGATGGCCATTAGTTGAAAAGTCAATTTTCCACTCGTATGCTATTGAGGAAATTCAATTCTTAACCCTTAAACTGTCCAAACATAGATCGACGTTCACGTGCATAACGCTTCGAGTGTAGATCGCCTCCAAATTTGGTACGATTGGCCTGAGATGCCTGGTCAGCATAGAATGGGTCTTAACACTCGGTGTGCACCGTATTAAAAGAATCTGGGACCACTTAGTACATTGTGGGAGCTCCAGTTATATTGAGTGCCAGCTAGAGCAAACAGTGGAGCAAACACCAAGGATTCACTGATGTAATGTCATATTAACACTCCCCTTTTAAGAGGAAAGTGATGTTAACCCCAAGTTTAAGGTCTGTCGGTCTGTCTGTCTATTTCTGTCTGTCTAACTCTGTGTGTGTGTGTCTGTCTGTTTCTGTCTATCTATCTCTCAGGTACACACAAATGCAATTATACAGAGTGTAAATTACCTAGGAAAACCTAAAAAATCTGAAGTGCTATACTGTGCTTGTAGATATAATGTATAAGAATACCTGTTGGTTCACAGTGGCTCTCTCTGAGACAGACAGAGAGACAAGCAGACAGAGAAATAAGACAGAAAGACAGATAATCAGAGATACGAGCTCATCAAATGTCATCCCTTATCTCTGCACCCTTGCTGGTGCACACCAAATGTCATAGCTTATCTCCTCTTATCTCTGCACTATCTCATCTTATCTCTGCACCCTCCTTGGAGCCCATCAAATGTCATCTCATATCTGATCTTATCACTGCCCTCCTGGATGCTTGTCACTGAATACTTGTCTTACACATTGCTTCAAGGGAATTTCTTCCTTCTTCCTCCTCCTCCTCCCTCCTTCTTCCTTCTTCTTCTATACTCCTGTGTATCCAAAACATTGCTGGGACCTATAAATACTTTGTATATATTCCTAGACAATAGTAAATAGCCAAGGCAGGTGTAAATGTCCACCTGTCAGCGTGTTTGTGACAATTTGAGTACAATTTCAGTACCTAATATTAGTGTCAGAAAAAAGATTGGTTATGAAATGACAAGAACTACAATAAATTGTAATTATCAGAACATAAAAATTATATAAAATAATATAAAAAAAATGAGAAAAAATGGTATATCGGCAACACTTCTGCAAGCGGCTGACTCTGTGTTGCCGTCAGGTGAGCACGAAGTGCCAACTTTGCAGCCTCATATCTCAGTAAGTACTGACCCTAATTTTTTTTTATTTTAATCCTATAACATTAGAAAAATGTGCTATTCATTTTCACTAAAAAAAAAAAAAAAAAGATTTTTTATTTTTCAAAATATTCGGGGCACTGGGGTAGTGAATGTATATATACGTTTGGACCGTTTATGGGTTAAGTGAGTTGACTATTTTTGTCTGGTTATTATTTCAGTATGCGAATATCCAGGAAGATGCCATCGGGATGTACGAATATGAGTACCAGAATGGCAGCATTGTGCCACCCTTCTTCTGTACCACAAGTTATATCAGTGGTGAAGCCTTCTTTGGGAACAACACATATTTTCTTAACAATAATACAACCACTTGTAAGTACATGTATGTTTTATGGCTTAGCATATTGAATAATAATAATAATAATAATAATAATAATTTGTGAAATGATTCACGGAAACAGGTTATCCGGACTTGAGCCCTGGAGGTGGGAAGCATAGTGCGTACAGTCTGAAGGAGGGGTGGGGATATGTTGCAGTTTTTGAACTATAGTATTGGCATGCCTCTGGCAAGACAGTGATGGAGTGAGTGATGATGAAAATGTTCTTTCTTTTTTAAGTCACCCTGCCTTAGTGGGAAACAGCCAGTGTATTAAAATAATAATAATAATAGAATTCTTCCTCCATAAACCATGTATGTTGTAAGAGATAACTAAAATGCCAGGAGCAAGGGGCTGGTAACTCCTTCTCCTGTATAAATTACAGTGGACCCCCGCATAACGATTACCTCCGAATGCAACCAATTATGTAAGTGTATTTATGTAAGTGCATTTGTACGTGTATGTTTGGGGGTCTGAAATGGACTAATCTACTTCACAATATTTCTTATGGGAACAAATTCGGTCAGTACTGGCACCTGAAGATACTTCTGGAGTGAAAAAATATCGTTAACCGGGGGTCCACTGTACTAATGTCTCGGTAGGAAACGACCAGTATGCTAAAAAAAAAAAAAAAAAAAAATCCTGAAATCATGAGTGATCATGCTTTCTAGATAGTCAGCAGTTTTCATTTCCAATGTTTATTTCAGGATGGGTTATTTCTTCTTCTTTCAACAAACCAGTCGTATCCCACCGAGGCTGGGTGGCCCAAACAGAAAATGGAAAGTTTCTCTTTTGATATTTAGTAATTCAAAATCGCCTCTTATGACACACATGGCTTGTGGAGGAAGAATTCTGTTCCACTTACCCATGGAAATAAGAAGAAATAAGCAAGAACAAGACCTAGTAAGAAAATAAAAGAAAATCCAGAGGGGTGTGTATACATGTATATCGAAAAAACAGGAAAATTGCTAAACAATGATTACCTGTATGTACCTCACACTGTTATTTTCTTCTGTTGCTTCTAGATTGAGAAGATTTGACGGATTGTCAGGTCACTGAGTCTCCAACTTCTTGTTCTTCGTTTTTTTAACTTCTTTTTTGATGTGATTAGTAATATAACTTTTCCATAAATTAATATTTGGTTAACTTCGCAGCTTGTATAAACATCACATTATCAGAGGTCACTCCAGGGTGGTCAACCAAGACTTTCCTCGAGAACAACAACTTTACATTAAATTTTGACCTTCTGCTGAGTGCGACCTTCAATTTTGTACTGAAGACCATCAAGCTAAGAGTGATCTTGCCTTATGAAACCCCAGAATGTTACCGGATGACAAACAAGGTTAGTGAAGGAAGGTGGATGAGCTTGCTTCATACAACTAATTCAGTACATCATCACTTCAGTGATTATGAATAAGACACTGGTGCAACACTCTGGTATCATTATTGTGGAACCCCTCAAGGGAGGTTCCTTGATGTGGGTGAGGGGCTCTTGATCTAGGGAATTGGATCTGTGCTTTGGTTCCCTGAATTCAGCCTGAATACCTTCCATCTCCCCCCCCCCACATGCACTGTATAATCCTACGAGTTTAGCACTCCCCCATGATTTTTTTCTTTCAACACACCGGCAGTATCCCACCGAGGCAGGGTGGCCCAAAAAGAAAAACGAAAGTTTCTCCTTTTACATTTAGTAATATATACAGGAGAAGGGGTTACTAGCCCCTTGCTCCCGGCATTTTAGTTGCCTCTTACAACACGCATGGCTTACGGAGGAAGAATTCTGTTCCATTTCCCCATGGAGATAAGAGGAAATAAACAAGAACAAGAAAGAAAATAGAAGAAAACCCAGTTGGGTGTATATATATGCTTGTACATGTGTAGTGTGACCTAAGTGTAAGTAGAAGTAGCAAGATGTACTTGAAATCTTTCATGTTTATGAGACAGAAAAAAGACACCAGCAATCCTACCATCATGTAAAACAATTACAGGTTTCTGTTTTACACTCACTTGGCAGGACGGTAGTACCTCCCTGGGCGGCTGCTGTCTACCAGCCTACTACCTAGGTCCCCCATGATTATAATAATAATAATAATTTATTATGCAAATATTTTGCCACAATGAAGAGACTGATTATATCAAACTCTCTTTTCACATTTTCTTCACATTTTCCTCCATTTTCTCCTATTGGATTGATAAAGCCACAGGTTGGCAAGATATTTTCAAAATAATGATACCAAAGTGTTTTCAGGTGTCTCGGATACCAATTATGTAATAATACTTGATAGATTAGGTTGAGGATTGGTAGTTTCCCACAAAACAATTTCTCAAACTTGTTTCATCTACACATGAATCACATGCTGTATATAAAATGACTCGCAAAATCGTAATAACACAATTGTAAACAAACCATGGAACAGGTGGGATTTGAACCCATGGTGAGTGAGTGGTAAAGTTCCTGGCTAGTGTGTAAGCCACTGGGCCAGTTGGCTACAATAAGATTCATCCGAATATAACTAGTTGGCATTTATGGATTTGGAAAAGATGTATGATAGGGTGGCTAGGGGGGTAGTGTGGCAGATGTTGCAAATGTATGGAATAGGAGGTAGGTTACTGAAAGTAGTGAAGAGTCTTTACGAAGATAGTCAGGCTCAGGTTAGAGTTTGTAGGCAAGAGGAAGATTATTTCCTAATAAAAGTAGGCCTTAGACAAAGATGTGTGATGTCACCATGGTTGTTCAACATATTTATAAATGGAATTGTAAGAGAAGTGAATTCTTGGGTGTTGGCAAGAGGTGTGGGATTAAAAGATAAAGAATCTGAAACAAAGTGGGAGTTGTCACAATTGCTCTTTGCTGATGACACTGCTTTTGGGAGATTCTGAAGAGAAGTTGCAGAGGTTGGTTGATGGGTTTGGTAGGGTATGTAAAAGAAGAAAAAAGTGAATATAGGAAAGAGTAAGGTGATGAGGATAACAAAAAAATTAGGTAACAGAAGATTGGATATCAGATTGGAGGGAGAGAGTATGGAGGAGGTGAATGTATTCAGATATTTGGGAGTAAACATGTCAGCGGATGGGTCTATGAAAGATGAGGTAAATCATAGAATTGACGAGGGGAAAAAGGTGAGTGGCGTACTGAGGAGTTTGTGGCGACAAAGAACTTTATCCATGAAAGCAAAGAGGGGAATGTATGAGAGTATAGTTATACCAACGCTCTTGTATGGGTGTGAGGCATGGGTTGTGAATGTTGCAACAAGGAGAAGGCTGGAGGCAGTGGAGATGTCATGTCTGAGGGCAATGTGTGTTGTGAATATAATGCAGAGAATCCGTAGTTTGAAGATTAGGAGGAGGTATGGGATTACCAAAACTATTATCCAGAGGGCTGAGGAGAGGTTATTGAGATGATTTGGACATGTAGAGAGGATGGAGTGAAATAGAATGACTTCGAGAGTGTATAAATATGTAGTGGAGGGAAGGCGGGGTAGGGGTTGGCCAAGGAAAGGTTGGAGGGAGAGGGGTAAAGGAGATTTTGTATGAGAGGGGCTTGGACTTCCAGCAAGTGTGTGTGTGAGTGTATTAGATAGGAGGGAATGGAGACAAATGGTTTTTAGGACTTGACGTGCTGTTGGAGTGTGAACATGGTAACATTTATGAAGGGATTCAGGGAAACTGGTAGGCCAGACTTGATTCCTGGAGATAGGAAGTACAGTGTCTGCACTCTGAAGGAGGGGTGTTAATGTTGCAGTTTTATAACTGTAGTGTAAGCATGTCTCTGGCAAGACAGCGATGGAGTGAACGATGATGAAAGTTTTTCTTTTTCGGGCCACCCTGCCTTGGTGGAAAATGGCTGATGTGTTAATAAAAAAAAAAAACTAGTTGAATTACTCTTATTGTAGCCAGCTGGCCCAGTGGCTTTTGCGCTGTCATAGAGTTTTGCAACTCACTCGTCTTGGGTTTAAACTACACCCATTCCATGGTCTATTGTTTTTTTTTTTTTAACAAGTCGGCCGTCTCCCACCGAGGCAGGGTGACCCAAAAAAGAAAGAAAATCCCCAAAAAGAAAATACTTTCATCATCATTCAACACTTTCACCACACTCGCACATTATCACTGTTTTTGCAGAGGTGCTCAGAATACAACAGTTTAGAAGCATACACATATAAAGATACACAACATATCCCTCCAAACTGCCAATATCCCAAACCACTCCTTTAAAGTGCAGGCATTGTACTTCCCATTTCCAGGACTCAAGTCCGACTATATGAAAATAACCGGTTTCCCTGAATCCCTTCACTAAATATTACCCTGCTCACACTCCAACAGATCGTCAGGTCCCAAGTACCATTCGTCTCCATTCACTCCTATCTAACACGCTCACGCACGCTTGCTGGAAGTCCAAGCCCCTTGCCCACAAAACCTCCTTTACCCCCTCTCTCCAACCCTTTCGAGGACGACCCCTACCCCGCCTTCCTTCCCCTATAGATTTATATGCTTTCCATGTCATTCTACTTTGATCCATTCTCTCTAAATGACCAAACCACCTCAACAACCCCTCTTCTGCCCTCTGACTAATACTTTTATTAACTCCACACCTTTTCCTAATTTCCACACTCTGAATTTTCTGCATAATATTTACACCACACATTGCCCTTAAACAGGACATCTCCACTGCATCCAACCGTCTCCTCGCTGCTGCATTTACCACCCAAACTTCACACCCATATAAGAGTGTTGGTACTACTATACTTTCATACATTCCCTTCTTTGCCTCCATAGATAACGTTTTTTGACTCCACATATACCTCAACGCACCACTCACCTTTTTTCCCTCATCAATTCTATGATTAACCTCATCCTTCATAAATCCGTCCGCCGACACGTCAACTCCCAAGTATCTGAAAACATTCACTTCTTCCATACTCCTCCTCCCCAATTTGATATCCAATTTTTCTTTATCTAAATCATTTGATACCCTCATCACCTTACTCTTTTCTATGTTCACTTTCAACTTTCTACCTTTACCCACATTCCCAAACTCATCCATTAACCTTTGCAATTTTTCTTTAGAATCTCCCATAAGCACAGTATCATCAGCAAAAAGTAACTGTGTCAATTCCCATTTTGTATTTGATTCCCCATAATTTAATCCCACCTCTCTCCCGAACACCCTAGCATTTACTTCCTTTACAACCCCATTATAAATATATTAAACAACCATGGTGACATTACACATCCCTGTCTATATATAGAATATTATTTTGTGGGTAATCATCATCTTTCAACAATCTGGCCATAACCCACTGAGGCGGGGTGGCCTAAAAGGAAAAACATATGTTTCTCCTTTTAAATTTAGTAATATATGCAGGAGAAGGGGTTACTAGCCCCTTGTTACTTTTGAGGGTAATATGTTCTGATAATTCTAATTGTTACTGAAGGCAGTGGAGATGTTCTGTCTAAGGGCAATGTGTGGTGTAAATATTATGCAGAGAATTCGTGGTGTGGAAATTAGGAGGTGTGGAGTTGCTAAAAATATTAGTCAGAGGGCTGAAGAGGGGTTGTTGAGGTGGTTTGGTTATTTAGAGAGAATGGAACAAAGCAGAATGACTTGGAGAGCGCATAAATCTGTAGGCGAAGGAAGGTGGCTTAGGGATCATCCCCGAAAAGGTTGGAGGGAGGGAGTGAAGGTTGTTTTGTGGGTGAGGGGCTTGGACTTCCAGCAGGCATGCATGAGCGTGTTAGGTAGGAGTCAGTGGAGACAAATGGTTTTTGAGACCTGACAAGCAGTTGGAGTGTGAGCAGGGTAATACTTTGTGAAGGGAGTCAGGGAAACCAGTTAGTTGGACTTGAGTCCTGGAAATGGGAAGTACAATGCCTGCACTTTAAAGGAAGGTTTGTGATATTGGCAGTTTCAAGGGACATCTGAACTGTCATATCCGAGCACTTCTGCAAAGACTGATTATGTATGAGTGATGGTGAAAGTGTTGAATGATGATGAAAGTTTTTCCTTTCTTTTTGGGTCACCTTGCCTTGGTGGGAAATGGCTGACGTGTTAAAAAAAAAGTACAAATAAAATATAAATATTGCTTAGGCATTGTGATGATAATACTATACCACAGTCTTGCTGGAACTTACTGTTAGTTTAGACTGAAAAAAAAGTTTTTATTCATTCAGACTCAGCTTACTTAGTGGATAGTATGAATGTCTGGTGGCCACATTTGATATGTTCAATCTCTCTCTCTTCTCCCAGTTATTACCATGGTCGAAATAAATGGTATAAAATACCGACACAATGGAAATATAAACACATATGCATATATATAATGTGATCCTTTCTTGACAACGTTTTGCCCACACAGTGGGCTTTTTCATTTCATAAACAGATCTGTTTGTGACTTGAAAAAGCCCACTGTGTTGGCAAAACGTTGTCAATAAAGGATCACATTATACTGCATTTTTTTTTTTTCAACAAGTCGGCCGTCTCCTACCATGGTTGAAATCCTTCCACCATACTTACAACACATCACTGGTTTAGCTCGAGTGGCCTCTTTTTATTTATTAAAAAGCATCAAAAATAATTTCTCACTTTCTAGATGACCTTTAATAATTATGAACGTGATGGACAAATGGTGGTGGAATTGCAAGTGGGCGCACGATTATTGAACTGTGACGGCTCCGTACACGTAACCTCAAACTCAGATGCAGTATCAGTAAGTTAATCATTTTTTTTCATTTGCTGAAAGTAAGTTTGTTTTGGATGATGTGCAAGCTCCTCGGTTTTCAGTGCTTTGTTTTATTTCGTTCTACTTCACTGAATACTATTCCTCTTCTCTTTTCGCTCTTCCTTTTACTTGCTTATACCACCATATAACAGTGTCTTTGGTAATTTCTTGGCCTCTTACAGTACTCTACACAGCCTGTCAATGTCTTCTCTTCATTCTGTTTATTCATATATGTTTATTCATATGTTTATTCATATATGCTGCATTTAACTGTATTCTTTTGTACTTCTCTGTATCATGTTCAAATTAATAAATAAATAAATAAATAAATAAATAAATAAACAGGTTAGAAAGTATTAACCTCTATCTGGATGAAAGCTAATGTTCAAGACTCTTAATAAGTACAGTATATACCTGGATAATGAATGCTTTATGCAGTATTTTGTTAAAAGTTTTGCATCATAAATAGGAAATATTTAAAAACATTATGCTGTACTATAAATGGAATTTGTTTACTGTATTATATTGCTAAATGTTCAGTAAGTCATGTTTAGATAGGCTGCCAACACAAACTTTTCCATTATGGGTGAAACAGCATTTATATTCTCCTGAAGGTGTGGAGGACAGTTATCAATGTTGTTACCATTGCCATCTGCGTCACCTCGCTGACTATGTGTATCAGGGCCATCTATCGAGCGCAGCTCCTCAAGAAAGTGAGTAATAACCTGCAGGTGCAGTGCTCCTGCCAGTGGCTCGTGTCTTTGAACTCTGTATTTTCCTCCTTACCTTTTTGTATTCACATTTCTTATGAAGGATTACCATTTTCTAACATTATTTTTACCTTCTTGTTTTAACTATTTAAATTTTCACTCTCAATGTTACATTTCTAATTGATTGCACTAACTATTTTTCTTTATAGTGAATTGGAGCTTTTGTTCCTTGCCCTTCCTAAGCACTGTATGATCCCAAGAGGTTTAGTGCTTTCTTATGATTAAAATAATATCCCTCATAATGCCTGAGAGGTTTGGGAAGCTTAGACAGTAACACTACAGTACTTAATGTTTCTAGTGGCTACTGAGAGATGGATATTGTAGGCATGTCTATAAATATTCATTTTTATTTTTTATACAGGACTGTGAAAAGGGGCATTGGGTTCATTCTTTCTATTTTTTTCTCAGCCTTTAATCTACAAGCTTTAAATGAAGGTGCTTTTATGTGATTATCTTAAAGGCATTCAGGAAAATGGGTAGCTGGACTTGAGTCCTGGAGGTGGGAAGTTCAGTGCCTATATTCTAAAGGAGGGGTTTGGAATATTTGCTATTTGGAGGGACATCTGAACTGTGGTATCTGCTTGCCTGTGGCAAGAGTGTGATAGTGTGAATGATGGTGAAAGTGTTTCTTTTTCAGGTCACCTGCCTTGGTGGGAGACAGCCAGTGTGTTAAAAACAATCTTCAGAATACAATAATAATCTTATTTTATTTATTTTTTTTTTCAACAAACCGACCATATCCCACTGAAGCAGGGTGGCCCGAAAAGAAAAACAAAAATTTTTCTTTTCAACTTTAGTAATGTATACAGGATAAGGGGTTACTAGCCCCTTGCTCCTGGCATTTTAGTTGCCTCTTACGACACGAATGGCTTTCGGAGGAAGAATTCTGTTCCACTTCCCCATGGAGAATTCTTATTTTATGTTGAGACAAATTATTCATGACTTATTATGTATATGTATTTATATTTAATTGTTTTCTTTCAGTCCACAATACAATTTTTCCATCGGCACTACAACAGAGAACTCAGCTTTGAGGAGAAATTGGAATTTGTTAATTTGTGGTATGTCCTTATTTGTATCAATGACATCTTAATCATCATTGGCTCCTTCCTCAAGATCGGCCTCGAGACCAAGGTAGGTGTTATTGTCATCTGTTTTGTCTTGTTCTGTGATTATTTTTATCCTAATTTCTCGCTTCATTTTTTTTACTATATCAATTCCAATGGTTTACAGTGAATAGCTTTCAGTATTTATATTTTCCTTAAAATGGCTAAATTGCATTTAAAAATCTTGTTATGTGAATGATACTAATATGTGATATATATGCGAGTTATAAAAGTGTGTTCTATGCTTGACTTCACTGCTTAATGAGTTTGATGGAAGCCTGATACTGATGATGATGTAACTTTCCAGTAATTGAAAAAAATATATATATATATATTTTTTTTTTTTTCAACAAGTTGGCCGTCTCCCACAGAGGCAGGGTTACCCAAAAAAGAAAGAAAATCCCCAAAAAGAAAATGCTTTCATCATCATTCAACACTTTCACCACACTCACACATAATCACTGTTTTTGCAGAGGTGCTCAGAATACAACAGTTTAGAAGCATATACGTATAAAGATACACAACATATCCCTCCAAACTGCCAATATCCCAAACCCCTCCTTTAAAGTGCAGGCATTGTACTTCCCATTTCCAGGACTCAAGTCCGACTATATGAAAATAACCGGTTTCCCTGAATCCCTTCACTAAATATTACCCTGCTCACACTCCAACAGATCGTCAGGTCCCAAGTACCATTCGTCTCCATTCACTCCTATCTAACACGCTCACCACGCTTGCTGGAAGTCCAAGCCCCTTGCCCACAAAACCTCCTTTTTTTTCCCCCTCTCTCCAACCCTTTCGGGGACGACCCCTGCCTCGCCTTCCTTCCCCTATAGATTTATATACTTTCCATGTCATTCTACTTTGATCCATTCTCTCTAAATGACCAAACCACCCAACAACCCCTCTTCTGCCCTCTGACTAATACTTTTATTAACTCCACACCTTTTCCTAATTTCCACACTCCGAATTTTCTGCATAATGTTTACACCACACATTGCCCTTAGACAGGACACTCCACTGCCTCCAACCGTCTCCTCGCTGCTGCATTTACCACCCAAGCTTCACACCCATATAAGAGTGTTGGTACTACTATACTTTCATACATTCCCTTCTTTGCCTCCATAGATAACGTTTTTTGACTCCACATATACCTCAATGCACCACTCGCCTTTTTTTCCCTCAATCAATTCTATGATTAAACCTCATCCTTCATAAATTCATCCGCCAACACGTCAACTCCCAAGTATCTAAAAACATTAACTTCTTCCATACCCTCCTCCCCAATTTGATATCCAATTTTTCTTTATCTAAATCATTTGATACCCTCATCACCTTACTCTTTTCTATGTTCACTTTCAACTTTCTACCTTTACACACATTCCCAAACTCATCCACTAACCTTTGCAATTTTTCTTTAGAATCTCCCATAAGCACAGTATCATCAGCAAAAAGTAACTGTGTTAATTCCCATTTTGAATTTGATTCCCCATAATTTAATCCCACCCCTCTCCCGAACACCCTAGCATTTACTTCTTTTACAACCCCATCTATAAATATAATAAACAACCATGGTGACATTACACATCCCTGTCTAAGACCTACTTTTACCAGGAAGTAGTCTCCCTCTCTTCTACACACCCTAACCTGAGCCTCACTATCCTCATAAAAACTTTTTACAGCATTTAGTAACTTACTACCTATTCCATATACTTGCAACATCTGCCACATTGCTCCCCTATCCACTCTATCATATGCCTTTTCTAAATCCATAAATGCAATGAAAACTTCCCTACCTTTATCTATATACTGTTCACATATATGCTTCAATGTAAACACTTGATCTACACATCCCCTACCCACTCTGAAACCTCCTTGCTCATCCGCAATCCTACATTCTGTCTTACCTCTAATTCTTTCAATTGTAACCCTACCATACACTTTTCCTGGTATACTCAAACTTATTCCTCTATAATTTTTACAATCTATTTTGTCCCCTTTCCCTTTATATAAAGGGACTATACATGCTCTCCGCCAATCCCTAGGTACCTTCCCCTCTTTCATACATTTATTAAACAAAAGTACCAACCACTCCAACACTATATTCCCCCCTGCTTTTAACATTTCTGTCATGATCCCATCAGTTCCAGCTGCTTTACCCCCTTTCATTCTACGTAATGCCTCACGTACCTCCCCCACACTTACATTCTGCTCTTCTTCACTCCTAAAAGATGGTATACCTCCCTGACCAGTGCATGAAATTACCACCTCCCTTTCTTCCTCAACATTTAAAAGTTCCTCAAAATATTCTCGTCATCTACCTAATACCTCCCTCTCCCCATCTACTAACTCCCCCTACTCTGTTTTTAACTGACAAATCCATACTTTCCCTAGGCTTTCTTAACTTGTTTAACTCACTCCAAAATTTTTTCTTATTTTCATTAAAATTTCTTGACAGTGCCTCTCCCACTCTATCATCTGCTCATCCTTTTGCACTCTCTCACCACTCTCTTCACCTTTCTTTTACTGTCCATATACTCTGCTTTCTTATAACACTCTGCTTTGTAAAAAACCTCTCATAAGCTACCTTTTTCTCTTTTATCACACCCTTTACTTCATCATTCCCCCAATCACTCCTTTTTCCACCTGCCCCCACCCTCCTATAACCACAAACTTTCCCCCCACATTCTAATACTGCTTTTTTTAAAACTATTCCAACCCTCTTTAACCCCCCCCCACTCATCATTGCACTAGCCCACCTTTCTGCCAACGTCCTTATATCTCCCCCCCCAACTTCCCCCTCCCTTTGTTCATACCTTTTACCCCCCTTATTGTTGTTGCCACCTTCCTCTTTTCCCCTCTACCTCCTTACTCTAACGTAGCTACAACTAAATAAAGACCATAATCGTGCCCCCCTAAAAACATGTACACCGGACCACCCTCAACCTTTTATCCACCAATCATAATCTAACAAACTACTTTCATTACTGCTACCATACCTTGTATATTTATTTATCCTCTTTTTTTTAAAAAATTTGTATTACTTATTCCCAAAAATCTCGTTCTACCATGCTAAATTTAAAAGGGCTCCCCTTTTAAAAATTTACCCCGGGCCCCCCCAAATTTTACCTCTACCCCTCCATAAATTTTTTACCCCACTTTGCATTAAAAACCCCCAACCACCATTACTCTCAACTTGTTCAAAACCCCCACACATTCACTCAAATTTCCCCAAAAGGGTCTCTCTCTCTCCTCTACACTTCTTTCTTCTCCAGGTGCATACACGTTACTAAAACCCCCATTTTTTTCACACCAATCTTTATTTTACTCCACAAAAACCCTTTAAATTTAATAATTTATATCCCTTTTCCTGCCATAGCTTTAATTTTTATTTTATTATCACACCGGCCGATTCCCCCCAAAGGCAGGTGGCCCAAAAAGAAAAACTTTCACCATCTTTCCCACTCCATCACTGCTTGCCAAAAGGGGTGCTTACACTACAGTTTTAAACTGCAACTTAAACACCCCCCCTTTCAGAGGCGGCACGTCTTCCCATCTCCGGACTAAAGTCCGGCCTGCCGTTTCCCTGAATCCCTTTAAATTTACTTTCCACACTCCAACAGCACGTAAATATTAAAACCATTTGCCCTTCACTCCATCAAACACGCTCACGCATGCCTGCGGAAAGTCCAACCCCCTCGCACCAAAACCTCCTTTACCCCCTCCCCCCAACCCCTTCCCCTGGGCCGCCCCTCCCCCGCCTTCCTTCCACTACAGACTGATACACTCTTGAAGTCTTTCTTTTTTTCGCCCCTTCCTCTACATGTCCAAACCCACCTCAACAACCCTTCCTCAGCCCTCTGGACAACATTTTTGGGTAATCCCGCACCTCCCCAAACTTCCAAACTACAAATTCTCTCTTATATTCACACCACACATTCCCCTCAGCATGACATCTCCCCTGCCCCCACCTTCTCCTCCTGCAACATTATACCCACCTTCACCCCAAAAAGGCTTTGGTAAAACTATACCCATACTTTCCCCCCTTTTTGCCTCCAGGACAAATTTCTTTGTCTCCACAACTCCAATGACCACTCACTTTTTTTTCCCTCAAAATTCTAGTTTCACCTCATCTTTCATAGACCCACCGCTGCCGTCCACCCCAAAATATCTGAATACTTTCACCTCCCCATACTCTCTCCCCCCCCAATCGATATTCAATCTTTCATCACCAAATTTTTTTGTTATCCTCAAAACCTTACTCTTTCCTGTATTCCCCTTTTATTTTCTTCTTTTTGCACACCCACCAAATTCATTCCACCAATCCTCAACTTCTTTTCAAATCTCCCAAGACACAGTGTCATCAGCAAAAGCAGCTTGACAATCCCACTTTGTGTGTTTTCCCCTTTATTTTTTTAACTCCACGCCTCTTGCCAAACCCTCGCATTTACTTCTCTACAAACCCCATCTATAAAATATTAAAAAACCACGGTGAATCACACACCTTGCTAACCCTACTTTTACGGGGAAAAAATTTTCCCTCTTTCCTAATACCTAACTGACCTCACAATCCCGTAAAAACTCTCCTGCTTTCAGTAACCTACCTCCTACACCATACACTTGCAAATCTCCCACATTCCCCCCCTACCCCCCCTTCATACGCCTTTTTCCAAATCCAAAAAATCCCACAAAGACCTCTTACCTTATCTAAATACTTTTCACTTTATATGTTCACTGTAAACCCCGGGCCCACACCCCCCCTACCTTTCCTAAAGCCCCCTTTGGGTTCACTGCTATCCATTCTCCCTTACTCTTAATTTTTTAAATTAAACTCAAAACCATACCTTTACCAGGTACACTAAACAACTTACCCCCCCTAAAAATTTTTTTGCCCTCTTTTTTCCCCTTTTGCCTTTAAAAAGGAATATCAGCTCTCTCCCAACCCCCTAGGTACCTTACCCTCTTCCAAACATTTATTAAATAATTGCACCAACCACCCAAAACAAATCCCCACCTGCTTTTAACATTCTATCTTTATCCCATCAATCCCCCCTGCCCTTTCCCCCTTTCTTTTACCCACTGCCTCACGAAATTCCCCCACACTACAAAAAATGGGGGTCTTCCTCACTCCTACAAGATTTAATTTCCCCCTTGCCCAACACAAATCACAGCTTCCCTATCTTCATCAACATTTAACAATTCCTCAAATATTTTAAAATTTTCAAAGTGGGGTTGTAATCAGTAGAAGCCTATGCAATTTTTTGGGGAAAGAGATAGCTCTAGCCCCCGGGGGCTGCTTCCCAAGCTTTTAGCAGCTTCTTTCATGCATTTTATATTTAACCCTTAAACTCCAAACTAGATCTACGTTCACCACTAACGCTCCGAAGTAATCTACATTGTTTTTTTATATGCTTTCAAAGGAGAAAATGAGTCGGGGCACTACGCGCGTAAACATAGTTTTTCTTTTTGGGCAGTTTAAGGGTTTAAAGGGGAAAGAAAAATTTTATTTTTTTTTTACCTGGGACTTCAACACTTTAAAAGTAAACATGAATTTAAGAAAATTTGTCAAACAAGGATTTTTTTCTCCCCCAGCTTTTCCTTGAAGAGGAGGGGCGGGGAGGTGCTTGGTGTAATTCTTGCTAAAACCCCGATTAACTTAATATTTGAAACAGTTTTCTGCAGTAAGTTATTCTCAAAGCTGTGTTGCTTAAGAAAGGATACTGCAGAGGGTGTTCTGCTATGCATGTTGAGCGTTTTATGGAAATACCCCCCGTTTCCCCTACTACCTGTGTAGATGTCTCCATATTTGGGTCATGTTACTCAGTCCCCAAGATAATTTTGCCCCATTTTATAGTTTAAACATTTGTGTGTCTACTTTATTTTATATTTAAAGTACTTAAAAATTTTTCTTGCATAAACTTTTTTTTTTTTACTCTCACTCCATTTCCCGCTTTTTTTTTTTTGCTTTCCCTGTATTTTTACTGAAAAAGTTTTTGCCATGCTAGTTTACATTTTTAAAAAATTTTTTAAATTAATTAAATTCAGCACGTCTATTAACCTTTTTTTTATATTTTTTTTTTTTTTAGAAAGTGGCAGTAGTTTTGTATCCCAGTAACTTGGAACCCGGGCCCTTCATTTGCTTGTATTGGGGGTGCACCTAACTACTTTCTTTAATTTTTCCACTATACACTCCTAATTATCACTCAACTTTGCTTATGTACCACATTTTGCTTTTAATGGTTTGCTCCCTTTGCATGGGCGATGTATTGTTACCACAAACCACCTGAATTTGTGAAAAGCGCCCCTTGGGAAGTCAAATTATTTTTTTCTAGCAATTTTTTTTTTATCGTTTGCTTGCATGTTTAAAGGGAAATTTTACAGCACTCTGGGCAGCCCTAAATTATGATGTTTTTAGTGTTTTTTTTTTTGTTTTTTTAGTTACTATGTTTTTCTTAGAACATATTTTTTTTTATAACACGTCAGCCATTTCCCACTGAGACAAGGTGACCTGAAAAAAAAAGTCGAAAGCGTTTAATTTTTTACATTTAATAATTTATACAGGAGAAGGAGTTACTAACCCCTTGCTCCTGGCATTTTAGTTGCCTTTTATGATATGATGATGTACACACCTAGTTGTGGTTGGAGGGGTCGAGTCACAGCTCCTCTGTATGTGTGTGTGTGTGTGTGTGTAAGTGTAAGTGTAAGTGTAAGTCAGTCATTCAGTCTCAGTCAGTCAGTCTCAGTCAGTCAGTCTCAGTTAGTCAGTCAGTCAGCTCAGTCAGTCGCTCAGTCAGCAGTCTTTGCATCAGTCCATCAGTCATCCCCAGTCAGTCATCTCAGTCATCAGTCTCAGTCAGTCAGTCTCAGTCAGTCAGTCTCAGTCAGTCAGTCTCAGTCAGTCAGTCTCAGTCAGTCAGTCTCAGTCAGTCAGTCTCAATCAGTCACAGTCAGTCAGTCAGTCTCAGTCAGTCAGTCAGTCAGTCAGTCAGTCAGTCAGTCAGGAGTGGAAGGAAGAAGGTGGGGGTAGGGGTTACCCAGGAAAGGTAGGGAGAGGTTAAAGACTTTAATTGGTAAGAGTTTGAGCATCCAGCAGGTAAATGAAAGCATGTTAGATTGTGGTGAATGGTGCCAGGTGTTTTTTGTAGATTGATGTGGTGTTGGAGTGAGAGCAAGGTAACAGGGAAATTGGAGCCCTGGAGGTGAGAAGCACAGTATATACACTCTAATGGTGGGGTGGAAATGTTACAATTCAGAGAATTATTTGAATTGGGAAGCGAGAAAGAATTCTTCCTCCATAAGCCATGAGTGTCATATGAGGCAACTAAAATGTTGGGAGCAAGGGGCTAGTAACTCCTTCTCCTGTGTAAATTAGTAAATTTTAAAAGAAAAGCTTACATTTATCTTTTAGGTCACCCTGCCTTGGTGGCATACAGCTGGAGTGTTGGAATAATAAATGTGTCCTCTTTTGGGTCATCGTACCTCAGTAGATTTATTAGTAACATTTATAAGAATGATGTACAGTGCAGTCTGTGAATTAGGGTGACTAGAAAGGGAAGAATAGAGTAGCATTAAAAAAACAATGAGGGCATTAGGGGAATAGGACAAGTTAGAAGAGCATGTATACATGTAGCTTCCCGTATACTTTATGCTGTAGTCATTCCACTGGCAAGGCCTCTGTGAGAAGTAAATATTAAAATATAGTACAGCACTTATAAAAACTCTTGATAGTACTATTCATACTCAGTCTCACTAAGTATACATAATGAGACAGGTAAACATGTCAGTCTCACTAAGTATACATAATGAGACAGGTAAACATGTCAGTCTCAAGTATACATAATTAGACAGGTAAACATGTCATTCTCATTAAGTATACAAGTATACATAATTTCTCACTGTTGAGGAAGGTACATACAGTCTCCTTACATATTTCTCATTAAACCATATTGTAAATTTGTTTGTAATGTCACCCCTTTTCTGGATATATTGTGTGTTAATTTTTATATGTTTCCAGAGTTACGAAGGCTACCTAGACACCTGGAATATTTGCTCTCTCTTTCTGGGCCTTGGAAACCTGCTCGTGTGGTTTGGATGCCTCAGATATCTGGGATTCTTTGCAACTTACAATGTAATTATTTATTATTTATTTTTTTTATTATCACACTGGCCGATTCCCACCAAGGCAGGGTGGCCCGAAAAAGAAAAACTTTCACCATCATTCACTCCATCACTGTCTTGCCAGAAGGGTGCTTTACACTACAGTTTTTAAACTGCAACATTAACACCTCTCCTTCAGAGTGCAGGCACTGTACTTCTCATCTCCAGGACTCAAGTCCGGCCTGCCGGTTTCCCTGAATCCCTTCATAAATGTTACTTTGCTCACACTCCAACAGCACGTCAAGTATTAAAAACCATTTGTCTCCATTCACTCCTATCAAACACGCTCACGCATGCCTGCTGGAAGTCCAACCCCCTCGCACACAAAACCTCCTTTACCCCCTCCCTCCAACCCTTCCTAGGCCGACCCCTACCCTGCCTTCCTTCCACTACAGACTGATACACTCTTGAAGTCATTCTGTTTCGCTCCATTCTCTCTACATGTCCGAACCACCTCAACAACCCTTCCTCAGCCCTCTGGACAACAGTTTTGGTAATCCCGCACCTCCTCCTAACTTCCAAACTACGAATTCTCTGCATTATATTCACACCACACATTGCCCTCAGCCATGACATCTCCACTGCCTCCAGCCTTCTCCTCGCTGCAACATTCATCACCCACGCTTCACACCCATATAAGAGCGTTGGTAAAACTATACTCTCATACATTCCCCTCTTTGCCTCCAAGGACAAAGTTCTTTGTCTCCACAGACTCCTAAGTGCACCACTCACTCTTTTTCCCTCATCAATTCTATGATTCACCTCATCCTTCATAGACCCATCCGCTGACACGTCCACTCCCAAATATCTGAATACGTTCACCTCCTCCATACTCTCCCTCCAATCTGATATTCAATCTTTCATCACCTAATCTTTTTGTTATCCTCATAACCTTACTCTTTCCTGTATTCACCTTTAATTTTCTTCTTTTACACACCCTACCAAATTCATCCACCAATCTCTGCAGCTTCTCTTCAGAATCTCCCAAGAGCACAGTGTCATCAGCAAAGAGCAGCTGTGACAACTCCCACTTTGTGTGTGATTCTTTATCTTTTAACTCCACGCCTCTTGCCAAGACCCTCGCATTTACTTCTCTTACAACCCCATCTATAAATATGTTAAACAACCACGGTGACATCACACATCCTTGTCTAAGGCCTACTTTTACTGGGAAAAAATTTCCCTCTTTCCTACATACTCTAACTTGAGCCTCACTGTCCTCGTAAAAACTCTTCACTGCTTTCAGTAACCTACCTCCTACACCATACACTTGCAACATCTGCCACATTGCCCCCCTATCCACCCTGTCATACGCCTTTTCCAAATCCATAAATGCCACAAAGACCTCTTTAGCCTTATCTAAATACTGTTCACTTATATGTTTCACTGTAAACACCTGGTCCACACACCCCCTACCTTTCCTAAAGCCTCCTTGTTCATCTGCTATCCTATTCTCCGTCTTACTCTTAATTCTTTCAATTATAACTCTACCATACACTTTACCAGGTACACTCAACAGACTTATCCCCCTATAATTTTTGCACTCTCTTTTATCCCCTTTGCCTTTATACAAAGGAACTATGCATGCTCTCTGCCAATCCCTAGGTACCTTACCCTCTTCCATACATTTATTAAATAATTGCACCAACCACTCCAAAACTATATCCCCACACTGCTTTTAAACATTTCTATCTTTATCCCATCAATCCCGGCTGCCTTACCCCCTTTCATTTTACCTACTGCCTCACGAACTTCCCCCACACTCACAACTGGCTCTTCCTCACTCCTACAAGATGTTATTCCTCCTTGCCCTATACACGAAATCACAGCTTCCCTATCTTCATCAACATTTAACAATTCCTCAAAATATTCCCTCCATCTTCCCAATACCTCTAACTCTCCATTTAATAACTCTCCTCTCCTATTTTTAACTGACAAAACCCATTTGTTCTCTAGGCTTTCTTAACTTGTTAATCTCACTCCAAAACTTTTTCTTATTTTCAACAAAATTTGTTGATAACATCTCACCCACTCTCTCATTTGCTCTCTCTTTTACATTGCTTCACCACTCTCTTAACCTCTCTCTTTTTCTCCATATACTCTTCCCTCCTTGCATCACTTCTACTTTGTAAAAACTTCTCATATGCTAACTTTTTCTCCCTTACTACTCTCTTTACATCATCATTCCACCAATCGCTCCTCTTCCCTCCTGCACCCACTTTCCTGTAACCACAAACTTCTGCTGAACACTCTAACACTACATTTTTAAACCTACCCCATACCTCTTCGACCCCATTGCCTATGCTCTCATTAGCCCATCTATCCTCCAATAGCTGTTTATATCTTACCCTAACTGCCTCCTCTTTTAGTTTATAAACCTTCACCTCTCTCTTCCCTGATGCTTCTATTCTCCTTGTATCCCATCTACCTTTTACTCTCAGTGTAGCTACAACTAGAAAGTGATCTGATATATCTGTGGCCCCTCTATAAACATGTACATCCTGAAGTCTACTCAACAGTCTTTTTATCTACCAATACATAATCCAACAAACTACTGTCATTTCGCCCTACATCATATCGTGTATACTTATTTATCCTCTTTTTCTTAAAATATGTATTACCTATAACTAAACCCCTTTCTATACAAAGTTCAATCAAAGGGCTCCCATTATCATTTACACCTGGCACCCCAAACTTACCTACCACACCCTCTCTAAAAGTTTCTCCTACTTTAGCATTCAGGTCCCCTACCACAATTACTCTCTCACTTGGTTCAAAGGCTCCTATACATTCACTTAACATCTCCCAAAATCTCTCTCTCTCCTCTGCATTCCTCTCTTCTCCAGGTGCATACACGCTTATTATGACCCACTTCTCGCATCCAACCTTTACTTTAATCCACATAATTCTTGAATTTACACAATTTATTTTCTTGTAATTTGATGATTTTGGGTACATAAGATTGATGTTAATATAAAATCCTTGCTTTAAGGCAGTAAATATATGGTATTCAGTTGTAGCCAGCTGGGTACAAAAAGATTCATCCAGCAAGGTAATATATTTTTTTTTTCCAACAAACTGGCCGTATCCCACCGAGGCAGGGTGGCCCAAAAAGAAAAACAAAAGTTTCTCTTTTCTTTCTTTCTTTCAACACACCGGCCGTATCCCACCAAGGTAGGGTGGCCCAAAAAGAAAAACGAAAGTTTCTCTTAAATTTAGTAATTTATATGGGATTAGGGGTTACTAGCCCCTTGCTCCCGGCATTTTAGTTGCCTCTTACAACACGCATGGCTTACGGAGGAAGAATTCTGTTTCACTTCCCCATGGAGATAAGAGGAAATAAACAAGAACAAGAACTAGAAAGAAAATAGCAGAAAACCCAGAGGGGTGTGTGTATATAAATGCTTGTAAATGTATGCGTAGTGTGACCTAAGTGTAAGAAGTAGTATCAAAACGTACCTGAAATCTTGCATGTTTATGAAACAGACAAAAGACACCAGCAATCCTACCATCATGTAAAACAATTACAGGCTTTCATTTTACACTCAATTGGCAGGACGGTAGTACCTCCCTGGATGGTTGCTGTCTACTAACCTACTACCTAGGATCATTCACTTATCGATTCCAATTTGTGGGCTTTGATCTTTGCGAACCTTGCTCTACAAGGTCTCGTGGCTATCCTTGTGGAAACAGTAACTGAAAAGATAGGTAGAGAGGCCAAAAGATCTACCGGGAGGAGTAAGGAAATGGGAGAAACTTGTAGGCTTAGGAAAGAAGTATAGATACAGATAAATATGTATACTACTGTATAGTATACATAAAGAGGAATATTCTGTTATGAAGAATAAAAATCACAGTACCATGGCTGGAACATTTCTCTTTTAACTCATATGTTGAAGAGAAAACTAGATTCTAGGTTAGGTTTATTTTCCGTGGAACATAGTATATATTCATTATCATTTTATTAGCATAAAGGGACATTCCCATAGTTATGCCATGCATAACAATAAAATAGGTTATAGAATAGACAGATTATATGAATCGTTTAGGTAAATTATTTAAGCTAAATGGAAATAAAATAAGTAGTGTACAATTGTTATTAGAATGTTATGAAGTTGTAACTTTGTCTAAAGTGAATCATCAGCTATGTATTATCTTGACTTAACTTGACAAGGGAGGTTCCTTGATACTGGTGAGGGGGTTCTTGTTCTAAGGAATTGGACCTGTAATCTCCTTCCTTGGATCAAACCTGAATGCTTCCCATTTCTCCAGACACTGCATGAGTCCTATGGGTTTAGCACCCCCCAAAAATGCAATAGCAATAATAATTCACATGTGTAAGGGCTTTACTGTTTTGTCTTTTACAGGTACTGATCCTGACCTTAAAGAAGTGTATTCCTAATGTGCTGCGCTTCTCCATATGTCTGTTGATGGTGTTTGCTGGGTATGCATTATGTGGCTGGCTTGTGTTGGGCCCCTATCACCTCAAGGTAGGCTTAATTTGCAGTATTTGCAAAATACTCTGTTTAGATTTAATGCATGCTCTTTGATTTAACATTTAATTATGCTGATACCTAGTTTGCTAGGAGTGTGAGCAAAGTCACATTTATGAAGGGATTCAGGGAAACCGGTAGGCCAGACTTGAGTCCTGGAGATGGGAAGTACAGTGTCTTCACTCTGAAGGAGGGGTGTTAATGTTGCAGTTTTATAACTGTAGTGTAAACCACCCCTCTGGCAAGACAGTGATGGAGTGAATGATGATGAAAGTTTTTCTTTTTCGGGCCACCCTGCCTTGGTGAGAATCGGCCGATGTGTTAATTAAAAATAAAACCTAGTTTGCTGGTAATATGAAACTTAGAAAATGTATGGAGAAATGATTTTCATTAGTTGTGACACATACAATTACAGTATTGATTAAATTGATATGTTTGAGCATTCAGTAAAGATTCACGTGTATGTGAGATTACATACCAATAAAAGTCCATTTAAGCTGTTCCTGTCTTCTTAACTCCTGTCAGCGATGCCATACTTCAACTTAAATCTTTTTGTATTTTACAGTTTAAGTCATTCTCCTCTACAATGGAATGTCTGTACTCGCTCATCAATGGAGACGATATGTTTGCCACGTTTTCTTCAACATCCGGCAAGGACCCGGTGGTGTGGTGGTTTTCCCGCATCTACCTCTACACATTTATATCACTCTTCATCTACGTCATCTTAAGCCTATTTATTGCCATTATTATGGATGCCTATGAAACCATTAAGGTATTGTATATTCTCTATTCGACTTGTAGGGTGAGATGAGATACAATTTAATGAACTTTATCGCACCTCAAACACACTGAGTTTTATCAAACTTAATAGCAAACACTCCAGTAAGATCCCAAATATGCTTTCATAGTAACACTATATATCTTTCAGCCATTAGCAAAACAAATATTAAAATTTAAGTGAAATGAAAATTGAAATAACACCTTGATGGGGTGAGTTGAGACAGTGCAAAGTTTCTGATTTCTTTGTTTTTAACACACCGGCCGTCTCCCACCAATGTAGAGTGACCCCAAAAAAAAAAAGAATCACTTTTGTCTTCACTCATTCCATCACTGTCTTGCCAGAGGCATATTTTTTTTTTCTTAACAAGTCGGCCATGTCCCACCGAGGCAGGGTGACCCAAAAAGAAAGAAAATCCCCAAAAAGAACATACTTTTATCATCATTCAACATTTTCACCTCACTCATACATATACATGTATATCTTTCTTTCTTTCAACACACCAGCTGAGGCGGGGTGGCCCAAAAGGAAAAACGAAAGTTTCGCCTTTTACATTTAGTAATATATACAGGAGAAGGGGTTACTAGCTCCTTGCTCCCGGCATTTTAGTCGCCTCTTACAACACGCATGGCTTACGGAGGAAGAATTCTGTTCCACTTCCCCATGGAGATAAGAGGAAATAGACAAGAACAAGAACTAGAAAGAAAATAGAAGAAAACCCAGAGGGGTATGTATATATATGCTTGTACATGTATGTGTAGTGTGACCTAAGTGTAAGTAGAAGTAGCAAGACGTACCTGAAATCTTGCATGTTTATGAAACAAAAAGGACACCAGCAATCCTACCATCATGTAAAACAATTACAGGCTTTCGTTTTACACTCACTTGGCAGGACGGTAGTACCTCCCTGGGTGGTTGCTGTCTACCAACCTACTACCTAGAACATATATATTTTTTTTTTTTTTTAACAAGTCTGCCATCTCCCACTGAGGCAGGGTGACTCAAAAAGAAAGAAAATCCCCTAAAAGAAAATACTTTCATCATCATTCAACACTTTCACCTCACTCACACATAATCACTGTTTTTGCAGAGGTGCTCAGAACACAACATATATGTATTAAGATACACAACATATCCCTCCAAACTGCTAATATCCTGAAACTCCTCCTTTAGAGTGCAGGCATTGTACTTCCCATTTCCAGGACTCAAGTCCGGCTAGATAAAAATAACCGGTTTCCCTGAATCCCTTCACTAAATATTACCCTGCTCACACTCCAACAGATCGCCAGATCCCAAATACCATTTGTCTCCATTCACTCCTATCGAACACGCTCATGCACACCTGCTGGAAGTCCAAGCCCCTCGCCCACAAAACCTCCCTTACTCCTAACAAGGCAGGGTGACCTAAAAAGAAAAATGAAAATTTTTCTTTTTAAACTTAGTAATTTATACAGGAGAAGGGGTTAACCAGGAAAATTCTTTGCAGAATTATTATGATGACGGGTTCCCAGAATCTGATCTGATGAAATTCGTCAATGAATGCACGGAGGAGCCAACAAGTGGGGTGTTCCATGATGATGGCGAGCGTACTATTCATGATATCATCAATTCTTTCTTCTGCTGTGATCTTCAGTAAGAAAAATGAGTTTATAATTTTACATTTTTTTCACAATCTGCTGGGAAAAGGAACCCCAAAGCTCACTTCTCTCAATATTTTTTGTTTTCAACATGTCTGCCATCTCCTGCTGAGGCAGGGTGACCCAAAAAAGAAAGAAACACTTTCACCATCATTCACACATAATTACTGTGTAGAGGTGCTCAAATATGACAGTTTAGATGTCAATCTCAGTATATGTACATTTATACAGCAGTTATTTACCTGTCCTCCCAAGTAAATCACCTGTATCCCTGTATTGGCAGTTTGGAGGGATATGTTGTGTATCTTTATATGTATATGCTTCTAAACTGTTGTATTCTGAGCACCTCTGCAAAAACAGTGATAATGTGTGAGTGTGGTGAAAGTGTTGAATGATGATGAAAGTATTTTCTTTTTGGGGATTTTCTTTCTTTTTTGGGTCACCCTGCCTCGGTGGGAGACGGCCGACTTGTTGAAAAAAAAAAAATCCCTCTTAGAATATAAAAAAAAATGTTTTTGATTTTAAAGCTTATGTTAAGTTTTTTACAAGAGAATATGGTAAATTTATGATTAGGGTCAGTAACAAAGAACAGTTTGTTCATGGCTAATATGGTAGAGTACTAGGATTCATTTCTGGAAGATAGTACTGGAAGCTCAAATGTAAGATAGTGCCAGAAGTACAAATATAAGATAGTACTGGAACTACAGATGTAAGCCTTCAATTTCATCTCTCTTTATTGTGGGACCTCCATAGGTTAATGCAGTTCAGCATACAGAAAAGTTAAGCTAATACTGAACAAAGATTAGAAGTCTTCCACATGAAGGGTGATTGAGTAGCATCAATTTAAATTCTCTTAAAAGGCGTAGGTTGAGGGGCGATGTGCTGGAGGAGTGGATGCATGGCCTTAATAAAGGGGACAACAACTGAGCTCAGAATATCAAGACAGGCAGTACAAACTACAGAAGTTTAGACTTAGAAATGTGCAAGAACTGGTTCAAAAAGTGTATTACAGATGGGGGAGGCAAGCTAACAAGTATCATTGTAAATTCATTGGAAATGTCAATCATGGGCTAGAGAAGAGTATGTCTGATAATAGCTGAGTATAGATTAAACTTTTTTTTTAATGTATTCCTAGTGAGTGCCTATGTGCTAAGAAGATGAATCAGATCTCTTGGTATTCCAGTTGGTATTCGTGTGTGTTCTTTAACATGGAGTGGGTGAAGCTCGATCCTCCATTCACTAATCAAAAGATGGAAGTGACAGACTAGAGTAATAATGACTTCTAAATACTGTATATACATTTTTTGTTGAATCAATTTGTTCATAGATTGTGCAGATTACTAATGTTTTTTTTTTCCCCCAGTAGGAGTCGTCAACAAGATGGCGAATACGAGGCTCTTCTCACTTAAACATTGGCAGAATAATATTACATTTTAACACTGTGTGCTGTACATAAGCAGGTATCTCAAGCTTTAGCTATATAGTACAATGAAGTATCTAAAACTGATTTTAATTAAATTATTTTTGTTAAAAGCTATATTTTCCTTTGAAATATGACTAGAGATGAATGTTTCAAATTAGTTTTTGGTGACTGACAGCCATCAGCAGAGTTTGAGTTGAAAAACATTACAAACAACTACATTTGATGATTTAAGTTTAATAAAACATTAGTGTAATATAATTATTTTTTGAACATGTTGGCTCTCTCCCCACTGAGGTAGGATGACCCGGAAAAGAGGAAACATGTTCATCGTAATACATTCAATTGCTGTCATGCCAGGAGCTTATTGACATCACAGTAGAGAGAGCTTTCTCAACTGCAGCATTTCCACTCCTGTAAATGTGCTATATAATTTGCCTCGGCAATCTTTTTACTACCTTGTTGTAGCACGCACAATTAAAGAGTGAGAAAAGTAGTTGGGTTGAATTTACTATTGTTTAACATGCGTGGAATCCTTCCTTCGTAAGACATGCTGGGTTATAAGAGGCAACTAAAATGCTAGGAGCAAGGGCTAGTAACCCCTTCTGTATAAATTACTAAATGTTAAAAGAAGGAAAACTTTTCTTTCTTTTTTTTTTTTTGGGTCACCCTGCCTTGGTGGGAGATGGCCAATGTGTTGAAAAATAAAAATAAGAACCTACATTATTTTCCTGATGTATCAGCTTTATTAGTAATCAAACTAGTTTGATGCAAATTGTTTGCTTATTGTCAAAGACAACTTTAATCAGTCTTGAATTGCCTTCACTACGACAGTGTGTTATTGTTTCATTAGTAATGCTTAAAATATCCATAAGATAACTTAGTGTGTCAGTGCATTATATTACAGTATATATTAGTGAAGATGTTGCCAGTTATATACATACAAGAAATATTGTTGAGGAAAGGAACTAGAACTGGAAGTTGAAAACCTCCAATGTAGAAAAGATCAGTTAATTAAAAAGACAAATATTTGATGCCGACCTTAGAGTAATAATTCTGTTATCGATAACAGTTTTTACTGTGTATTTTTGTGTCTGCCCATACATATAGGGCATCCTTTGGCCACCTCCCACTGAGGCAGGGTGATCCAAAAAAGAAACACTTTAGCCATCATTCACACTGTCACTGTCTTGCCAGAGGCACACAGACACGATAGTTCGGATGTCCCTCCAAACAGCATCCTTATGTGTGTGTATTTGAAGTTTTGTTTCTGAATGCCTTTTATACCTTTTCTTGGAATTTGTGATACAGTAGCACAAAACATTGAATGGGATTGATTTACTGACATGTTTGCCCATAGCTGGAACCAGCGGGCTCTGCTGAAGGTTAAGTCTCAGACTAAATAATAAATGGATTGATGGATTTTTCTTTCAAGTGACATCACCACAAGACCAAACCTGAGATTCCATTTCCGTCACTTCTCATAAAATGATAACAAGGTTGATAGGTAAATGAGGCCTGCTAGTTGAAGCAAGCATGTAAAGTTATTGTGTTGTAACAGTGTTTTAAGTCTATGCTGGGGAGGTGTAGAATGTAGAAAAGATGAACAGATTATTGTTAAAGGAATGGGGGTGTTGTAGCTGATGTTACCAAGAGAATGAGTGTTGATATGTATGTGTAAGTTTTGCAGGAGAGGGTTAAGAGTCAATGAAGCACAGTGAATAACTGAGAAGTGTTAAAAAAAAAAAATCCATTACATGCTGAAATCACAGTTCATCCGTCTTTTTTCCACACGTGGATTGTTTCTCTTGTGCACCCTCATTTACGCAGGATATTATTAACCAGAAGTTTCTGGGTGATAAAATTTCTGTTTATTCTCAATACATATTCATCTTCACCTGTCATTAGTTGTTGCACAATATAAGCAGATGTTTGCAGATTTATTTCTTAATTAAAAAAATGCGAGTAAAATTTAATGTCTAATTTATCCTAGAAATTAGTATGTGTAGAACTGCAAAAAATGGCAGAAAGAAAAGAAATAAAGTAAAAATGTTTCAGTATTTGTGAAGACTGGTGTGTTGTATTTAAGAGATGATACATTCCAAATGAAACGCTGTGATTGGTGTGTCCCTTTGATCTAAGATGAACCATGGAATGGGTGGGGTTTGAGCTTTATGACTTACTCACCATGGGTTCAGACTCCACCTGTTCCCTGGTTTGTTCACATTTATATTATTACAGTTTCGTGAGTCATGATAACCCTTTGATCTGTTTAGTCTTACCATCTAATACAGCCTTTCCTCACTTAGCGACATACTCGTTTACCAACGATTTGGACTTACAACAGGCTCTCTGACCAGTATGCATACCTAAATAATGTATATTAGAGCTGATTTCCTCTATTCTGTTTATTGCAATATACAGTGCACTACTGTATAAACATTTAAAATATACCATAGATGTTATAAATGGTGCAAAGGTGACATTAAAACAATATCAAAGAAGGTTGACACAAACCCACTACCATTATAGTATGCTCCTTGCTTAGCGACAAATTCGTTTACCGACATGGTCTTAGGAATGGAACTCCATCGTTAACTGAGGAGAGGCTGTATTTTGTAATAAATACTTGTATGTAAGAAGCAACTTGTGTTGCTGTGCTGCTTACTGAAATATGGGTTACATTATTTATTTATCTGTTACGTAATGTTGGTCATCACCATAGAAAGTGTTGGAGTCTGCACTGTGGCAGCTGTAAGACTGTTTTTGTAAATCATGACAGTGTTGTGCCGAGACTCATACACTCATAATTTTATGGTGTACCCCATGCTTTGTGTGTGATGATGTACTCTGTGCACCAAAAATGCTATAATGTGCTCCTTATATCAGACATGTGAGTTATAATGTATTCCAGTCATGGAACATGTGACAGCTATGATGTGCTCCATGCAATAGACATGTCATTTATGATGTGTTCTATTCATTAAAGACAAGAGAGAAATATGACCTGACTGGCCATCAGCATCGTGAATAAAACATGTCTGCACTCCATATCTTCAGTATTCTTAGCTGAAGGAACTTGTACCTTTTGTAATTTTTGGTGCATGTTTTTAATGTATAGATCTGCATTATTTTTATTTATTATATTACAGTATTCTTTTCTATTTTCTATATTTATTTAATATAAGTTATTCAGAAACACATTGGAAGCTTCAGGATATTTTAAAAATGTTGTACAAAGAATAGCCAGAATAGATTTGGATAGAGAGCAAAGTTGCTTGTCATTTTCAGCATGTAATTTTTAAATGATGATTATCACACTTTGATTCTTCTGCAAACTTAAATTTTATATATGCAGATACATTATTATATACATACAGTTTTGAAGAACATGTAAAGCTCTGATTTACTTTATTTCTTAGACACTGATCGTCTCCCACTGAGGCAGGGTGACCCAAAAAAAGAAGAAATGCTCACCCTCACTCTACCACTGTCTTGCCATAGGTGTTCAACACTGCAGCTCAGTTGCCCCTCCAAATTGCAGTATCCACACTTCTCTTTTAGAGTGCAGTAACTGTACTTTCTACCTCCAGGACTCAAGTCTGGCTAACTGGTTTCCCTGAATCCCTTCATAAATGTTACCTTGCTCACACTCCAACAGCACGTCAAGTCATAAAAACCACTTCCCTCCACTCACCCCTATCTAACACACTCATACACACTAGCTGGATGCCCAAGGCCCTTGCACAGAACCTCCTTTACCCCCTCCCTCTAACCCTTCCTCAGATGACTCCTACCCCTCCTTTCCCCACTACAGATTTATACACCCTCCAAGTTATCCTATTTTGCTCTGTCCTCTCTAAATGTCCAAACCCCTTCACCAACCCTTCCACAGTCCTCTGGATTAATGATTTTAGTAATCCTGCACCTCCTCCTAATTTTTAAACTTTGAATTTTCTGCCTAATATTTACACCACACATTGTCCTCAAACATGATATCTCCACTGCCTCTTGCCTCCTCACTGCAATGTTTAAAACCCATGTTTTACATCCATATAAGAGCATTGGTACCACTGTGTGCTGGTACATTCTCTTTTTTCCCCTCCATGGATAAGGTTCTGTCTCCATAGATGCCTCAATGCACCACCCACCCCACCTTGTTTGAGGCATCTGTGATATACTTACGGGTTAATATAATTACCTATTTGAGTTTGTGGGAGATTGTGCTCAAACTCCTGGTACTGCTTCTTACCCTTCAGCTGACTGTTTTAGCCCTGTCACATTGTCACATGTTTACTCAATTTCTCATATTACTTCTATAGATTTAAGTCAAGAGAGTAGTAAATGTTATTTGGCCCTCACTCACTTATTTTATAACTCTCCAGATTGCAGCATAATATAAGCTCTATTAGATATTAAGGTATGTGAACAAGAATTATGTCTATTTTTGCCAGGCTATTTATGCAGATTTTGAGTACGGTAGTTCTGTATGCCTTGTCTCTCAGAGGCGTGTGTTTTAAAATTGCTGAATTAATTCTTTTAATAACTGCTGAGTAAATGACACTTCTTCATTTATATTAATTATACATTTTTGCCTAATATGGCAGATGGAAAGAGTGCAGTTAAATGTAATGAATAAGTGTAGAATCATCTGAGTGAGGTTCACAGAACACGAGGTGCTGTTAACTGTTACTTTCATTTGTATTATTACATTACCAAATGTGATATCATCATTGTTGAGTGCAGGGCTGTGGAGTCGGAGTCATGGAGTTAGAGTCAGAGTTGGAAGCAGTTCTTGGGTTACTGGAGTTGGAGTCGGTAAAATGTAATTAAAGGAGTCAGAGTCGGAGGCACCATAAATAAAGGAGTTAGAGTCGGAGGTTTTATGTGCTGACTCCGCAGCCCTGGTTGTGTGGCTTCTTCCAACATTGGTCACATTGGGTAACTTTGCCACCATTGGGCACCCATATAAAGTCTGTCAGCATTGGTTACAGATGGAAATATTAAGAGAGTTAGTTATGTGAGTGTCCTTTCTCTTGGTTCTTGGATTTGTTGAAGATTTAAGATGTATGTTGTGCAACTCCACTTACCTCCATCACCTCCAGATTTTCATTTAAATGGGTACAGGTTTACCAATCTTTTTTTGTTATCCTTTGCATTTCTCTTATTTTCTTACCTGGATATACAATGTATGCTGTATATACTTGCTTATTTTTCAGTTGAAACAAATGGTAACTCCTTCATTTGTAATGAAGAACTTGTAGAATTCCGTAAACTTTTGCTAAAAGTGGAAGTGTAGTTTGTATGTCAGTGGAATGATTCTACTTTTAGGAAATTGTCGTAAAGCAGAGCTTTCAGAGGAGCATGGCATGAGAGATGGGATAAATACTTTGTGAATATACGGTTGATTGCCACATGTATATTGTGATGTCCAGTATTGTGATCAGAGGCTACTTCTGTTATGGGTGTCCATTGTAGTAACTTAAGGTCAACAGTGCTGATTGTATAGTAGAATCTCGTGTAAGTCTAGATGCTGTTCTTTGTCTCGGCCAGGTGAAAGTTTGCCTAGGCTCGCACATCTATTAAAAACTTTGTAACCTTGATTCCTATATTGTGATGAAACAAGTCTGTACACATGCTTGTTGAAGGACATTCATAATTTATTTTGATTAGTATAGTTTAAAATGGTTTCAAAGGTACTCTATAATGCTCAGTGCCTTTTTTAATATGGAAATGCATGTTTTTAATTTTTGAGTGTCTTTTAGAGAAGTCAGATTTCCTGCTTGATGTCTATGTAGATATAATATATTGTTTGATGTGCACCATCTTTTGTAACTTTAAAAAATTTTACTTGCTAATACCTCATAATTTTTTTATTAATATGTCTTAGACTAAGATAAGCACATTACCAAATATAGGCTTTTGTATATTTATAATGTACATAGATTAACTCCTAGTAAATACAGTGGCAAGGGAAATGCAAAGTGTATTTCCTTGCTTGAATGTTTGATATATTCACGCTGGATCATTGATTGATCCATCTCATTTTATGTTTTACAACTGTGTACTAAGAAAGCATGTTGCCTAGCAGAGCGAGATGTAATTTATGCCATAAAATATAGAACTGTGAGGTTCGTGTACATAGATTATGTTATATTTTTTTTATTAACACATTGGCCATTTTCCACCAAGGCAGGGTTACCCAAAAAAAAAAATACTTTCCTCATCATTCACTCCATCACTGTCTTATCAGAGATGTGCCTATGCTACAGTTAAGAAGCTGCAACATCAACACCCCTCCTTCAGAGCACGGGCACTGTACTTCCCACCTCCAGGAGTACATGAAGATGCAAAGGTTATTGCTCTCTGAAGTAGGATTGTCAATACCCCCAAGACGGATTTGTATTTGACACAGTTTGGAGGGTTAAATTTTTGTTTTAAATATAATAATCATTGCAGCATATTCTCTGGTGAGTAACATTACTCATTATTCTAATCATTTGATAATTATCAAAAGCAAAATTGTGTGCTGCAGATGAAAATTTCTAAATATTGCACTCACAATATTTATATCTGATAGAAAGGTCGTTAATCTGAAATTCCATACTGTATATACTGTACTGTAACTTTATAAAAATTGTTCCCTGTAACTTCATGCCAATTATTCCCTGTAACTTTAAAACATAATTATTAATGTACTATAATAATTTTTTGCACTGTTTTCAAAAGCAGTGTTTTTAATGGCTGAATATGCTTGGCTGTGAAATTAGGCTGATGGTCATATGTTGCGCTGTTTCAAAGTATGTAGCACTGTAGAATACAGTAATGCTATAAATTAAAATAAAACACAATATGGAGAAGAGAATCTATTTTTATTTTTGAAGAGTTTCGAAAGCTTTAATATTAAAATACAGGTGCTCCTTGACTTAGAGTGGTCCGACTTATGATATTTCGACTTTACGATGGTGTAAAAGCAGTTACAGTGGAACCTCAAATATTGAACTTTTTTCGGTCCAGAAGGCTGTTCGAGTGACTTTACCGAATGAATTTACTCCTATCAGGAATAATGTAAATTAGATTAGTCCATTTCAGACCCTCAAAAATACACTTATAAAAGCACTTACAAAAATACACTTACATAATTGGTTGTGTTCGGAACAGTTCGATTTTTGAGGTTCCACTGTACTTTGGAGATGAAACTTGAGATAATTACCCAACATGTAGGAAAGTCCGTAACTTATATTCATTTATTTGCTTTTCAGTACTGGTATTTAATTACATTAATTATTTGTTTATTTACTTATTCAGTGACAGTAATTTATTTATTTATTTATATCATGCTCATATTCGACTTAGGATATTTTTGCCTTACAATGGGTTTGACGGAACGTAACCCCATCGTAAATCAAGGAGGACCTGTATATGTAAAATAGATTACCTACACTATATTGTGTTGTATTTACAGACTTGTTTGTACTTGGTGTTACTAAACAAGTCAATTTTAGAGAAATATAAAATATGTAATACACTCTTTGTAGTAATTTTGTTACATTAAAGTTTCAAAACATTAAAAGACCATTTATTAAGCTCTATTATTAACCTTTTGCAATTTCTTGGCATATTGAACATGGCACAAAGACTATTCACTCTTTAGAAGTCAGTGCTTAGCAACTTATTTATAGGAATTGATCACTGCCCACCGAGGTAGTGTGACACAGAAAACACATTCCCCATTACTCATTCCTTAGCTGTCTTTCTAGAATTATTTTATTTTATTATCACACTGGCCGATTCCCACCAAGGCAGGGTGGCCCGAAAAAGAAAAACTTTCACCATCATTCACTCCATCACTGTCTTGCCAGAAGGGTGCTTTACACTACAGTTTTTAAACTGCAACATTAACACCCCTCCTTCAGAGTGCAGGCACTGTACTTCCCATCTCCAGGACTCAAGTCCGGCCTGCTGGTTTCCCTGAACCCCTTCATAAATGTTACTTTGCTCACACTCCAACAGCATGTCAAGTATTAAAAACCATTTGTCTCCATTCACTCCTATCAAACACGCTCACACATGCCTGCTGGAAGTCCAAGCCCCTCGCACACAAAACCTCCTTTACCCCCTCTCTCCAACCTTTCCTAGGCTGACCCCTACCCCGCCTTCCTTCCACTACAGACTGATACACTCTTGAAGTCATTCTGTTTCACTCCATTCTCTCTACATGTCAGAACCACCTCAACAACCCTTCCTCAGCCCTCTGGACAACAGTTTTGGTAATCCCGCACCTCCTCCTAACTTCCAAACTATGAATTCTCTGCATTATATTCACACCACACATTGCCCTCAGACATGACATCTCCACTGCCTCCAGCCTTCTCCTCGCTGCAACATTCATCACCCATGCTTCACACCCATATAAGAGTGTTGGTAAAACTATACTCTCATACATTCCCCTCTTTGCCTCCAAGGACAAAGTTCTTTGTCTCCACAGACTCCTAGTCTTTCTAGAAGTGTATGAATAATGGAATTCAAATGAACCTCTAAACCATATTGCAAAACCTTCGTGTTTGTAATTTTTTTTATGTCTGCTGGTTTACAATGTTGCATGATTTCTTGACAAGTTTAATGGTTTTTCATATATGTTATGAAATTTAATTCTAGGTTAATTTGCTTAGAGAAAAGTGATAGAGTATATTGGTTGTGTACTAATTTGAAAATGACAGTAGTGTTCCCAGCTAGAGGGACTAGTACCGAACTTGCACACGAAAATCACTCACTACAAAAGCAAAAGACTTGGCAGATGATGCAACATCCCCCCAATGAAAAGCAGGGGTGTCACTAGCACCTAAAGTCGGTTCCTGACCAGCCGGGCTGTGGCTCGTACATTGGTTTGCGTGCAGCCAGCAGTAACAGCCTTGTTGATCAGGCTCTGATCCACCACCCCTCAAGGAAGGTTCCTTGATGTTGGTGAGGGGCTCTTGATTTCGGAAATTGGATCTATGCTCCAGTTCCCCGAATTAAGCCTGAATGCCTTCCACATCCCCCCCCTCCCCAGGCGCTGTATAATCCTCCGGGTTTAGCGCTTCCCCTTGATTATAATAATAATAATCTGATCCACCAGGAGGCCTGGTCACAGACCGGGCCGCGGGGGCGTTGACCCCCAGAACTCTCTCCAGGTAAACTCCAGCTAACTTTACACAAGCTCTTAAATGAAGGAACTGAAGTTACCCTTCTCTTCCTTGGTTCAAACCTGATTACTTCCTATAATATATCTTTATTTCTACAAGTACATGTATGTACAAGGTATACAGGCCTAGCTGACATCAATGACATACTACTATAGAGAAAGCACCTTGTTATGCAGAGCATTTTGGGCAAATTAGGTCAGTTTTGTCACAGGATGTCACTGTCACCCACACCATTTCACTAACACCCAGGTACCCATTTTACTGATGGGTGAACAGGGACAGCAGACATCTTATGGAAATGTCCAACTGTTTCCAGCCGTACCGGGGATCGACCTCGGATCCCAGTGTGTGAGCAGAGTGCGCTCAGTTGGGCTACGGGACACTGTCCAGCTACAGTGTAGCGTTCTACCTTCCATGACTCCAATAATACTGCAACGATTTGGGAAAGTGCTGTATGACCCTTGTAGGTTTAGCACCAGGCCCGGTAGCCTGGTGGCTAAAACTCCCGCTTCACACACGGAGGGCCCAGGTTCGATTCCCGGCGGGTGGAAACATTTCGACATGTTTCCTTACACCTGTTGTCCTGTTCACCTAGCAGCAAATAGGTACCTGGGTGTTAGTCGACTGGTAAGATAAGATAAGATAAGATTTCGTTCGGATTTTTAACCCCGGAGGGTTAGCCACCCAGGATAACCCAAGAAAGTCAGTGCATCATCAAGGACTGTCTAACTTATTTCCATTGGGGTCCTTAATCTTGTCCCCCAGGATGCTACCGGTGGTCTGGTGGCTAAAACTCCCGCTTCACACACGGAGGGCCCGGGTTCGATTCCCGGCGGGTGGAAATTCCGACACGTTTCCTTACACCTATTGTCCTGTTCACCTAGCAGCAAATAGCTACCTGGGTGTTAGTCGACTGGTGTGGGTCGCATCCTGGGGGACAAGATTAAGGACCCCAATGGAAATAAGTTAGACAGTCCTCGATGACGCACTGACTTTCTTGGGTTATCCTGGGTGGCTAACCCTCCGGGGTTAAAAATCCGAACGAAATCTTATCTTAAATCTTAGCGTTGATTGTAAAAATGATCATAAATTTTGGAGAGATGGATGTGTGCATCATTTCCTTGTCTCAAAGGGCCAGCTGGGCTGCATGACCCTTGTGGGTTTAGCACTTAGTTATGATTTTAATAATTCACCAGAACCACAAATTGAAGATTTTTAAAAAGAGCGCCTCAAAAAATTAAGACGAATTTTGTATTTGATAAAATTTCATGAAAACTCTACAAATCAAACAAATAAGCAAATTAAACAAACACAATCATTATTTAATATTAAACATAAAAAAATCTCGCAAAGAAAAACAAAAGCACCACAAAATAATAAAAAAACTCAAAAATAAATTGGTAACACGAGCCGGAGATAATATTGTAGTGAGTGAAGTGGGAGGATCAATATCTTCAAAGTTCTCAGCTACTCCAGTATTTCTCTTTTTTTTTGGACTCTCCTCAAGGTAAGTAACTTAGTATTTAATGTTAAAGTGGAACATAATGTATAATATATACTGATGAATATTATTGTGTCTACAGGTGAAGTTTGAGCCACTTAAGAGGCGCCTAAGTAGTCTTCTAAAATGTTAATTTTTCCTCTATAATCTACCACCTGGTGAGGGGCTCTTGATCTAGGGAATTGGATCTGTGCTCCAGTTCCCTGAAGTAAGCCTGAATACCTTCCATTCCCCCCCCTCACATGCGCTGTATAATCCTACGGGTTTAGCGCTCCCCCTTGATTATAATACTAATATAATCTGCCATGTCCATAATTACTATCACATTTGCTTTGTTTTGTAAGGTGAAGTCCAGGATCTTTCCTTAATTCATGGACAAGGTAGATTATAGGAGAATAATAAACATGTTACGGCTTGACAAAGTTCCTGGAGAGCGAAACGTTGCCATGATAAAATGTCACATTAGTTGTACTTGTGTCCTTTTACTTTAAATGTTATTAGAAGACGGGGGAACTTACGTGCTTCTTAAGAGTGCATCAAGGACTCTAGTGGAAATAAGCGATGATGTGATGCTTAAAAATCATCTCGTTTCTCAGTACTATCCCCTAGTAGGTGTAGTGCATCTTTTTGATTATAATACCTCTCGAAGGAGGTTCCTTGATGCTGGTGAGGGGCTCTTGATCTAGGGAATTGGATCTGTGCACCAGTTACCTGAATTAAGCCTGAATACCTTCCATCTCTCCCCACACAGGCATATAATCTTATGGGTTTAGCGCTCTCTCATGATTATAATGATAATTATTTTTTATTATAATAATAATAATATCAATACTAACCAAACTAACATCTAACCAGTTTGAAGCAACTCGCCAAAATATTATATGACCTCTAGTCTTTTAAAACATCTACTCGTCTATAAAATAGCACTGTTTGAATCATTATTTGTAATATTGTTATTCGTTATGTGCAGCTTTAAGATTATTATTCTTATAAACCTTCAACCACTCTTCCCCTCAAGGAAGGTTCCTTGATGTTGGTGAGGGGCTCTTGATTTAGGGAATTGAATCTGTGCTCCAGTTCCTCGAATTAAGCCTGAATGCCTTCCACATCCCCCCCCCAGGCGCTGTATAATCCTCCGGGTTTAGCGCTTCCCCCTTGATTATAATAATAATTCAACCACTGTTATCTAGACTTAAGTAGTTTTTAAGTATTAGGATTACTCTGCCTGAAATGTCCCGGCATGATAGTGGATTTCTTTGTACTTAACAAATCAAAATTGTAATTACACATTGTAACCTTTGCAAAGAAATAAAATCTTTATTTTTTATCTTTAAGTCACTTTGACTTTTTTTTTTTTTCTAGGTAATTTACATAGGTTAATGGGTATTATAATTGTACTTATGTGTACCTGTATCTAAACTCGCTCACTCAAGAATCCTAATGAAAATTAGTCAATCTGACATTTTTCTTGGGGGGGGGGGTTCCTGGTGGGTAATTTACATGTATGTTACTATGTAAGACAAGCCACCAGGGATGGAAATCTTCAGCTCAGAATCTTTCATATGTATCTGTGCATCATCAGGAGCTATGCAGTGTTGCAGGAGTAGCAGCAGGTGGAATAAGATGAAGTTTAGATCTCTCATTTATATGCAGGAAATATCCTTTGTCAGCAGAGCTGAGTTGATAACTCATATATCTAGTTTGATTCTTAAACAGAAGAGGACATTTTCAATGACAGTGTTGTTAGTTAAAACGTAAGGTGAATTCTACCCTGCCCTTCTTGTTTCTAAAAAAGTCATTAAAATCCTTGCTCTGTGCATTTGTTTTTTGTGGCTTTGTAGCAAATATTGTAATCACTACAGTGCTGGTTAACTCTTGATTTAACAGACTTTGGAAATACAGGTCAAAATCTGCCGTGACCGTTCACTTGGAAACGGCAGAGAGTCATCGGTTACAGAGCTGTCCGCTGTTGCTACAGTCACGGCAAAACAGTTTTATTTCCTCTCATCACAGTCACCACCACCAGCCACCTGCTGCCCCCTTTTAGTCTGTTAAGTCAAGGGTTATACTTCAAAAAACATTTTGCTCATTAACCCTTAAACGGTCCAAACAGATTGACGTTCAAACTCGTAGTGCTGCAAAAGTAGATCTACTTTTTTTTACATACAGTGGATCCCCGCATAACGATTACCTCCGAATGTGACCAATTATTTAAGTGTATTTATGTAAGTGCGTTTGTACGTGTATGTTTGGGGGTCTGAAATGGACTAATCTACTTCACAATATTTCTTATGGGAACAAATTCGGTCAGTATTGGCACCTGAACATACTTCTGGAGTGAAAAAATATTGTTAACCGGGGGTCCACTGTATTTTCAAATATAACAAAAAAAAATGTAGATAAAAGTTTTTTTTTACACGTTTTCAAATGTAAAACAAAAAAGAAGATCTACATTTTTTTACATGCTTTCAGATGTTGAAAAAACGTATATATACGTTTGGACCATTTAAGGGTTAATAGTGATAGTCTTGCTTAAAATCTACTATAGAATGATGACAGCAATTATTTACAGCTTCTTGGATAAACCTCTGCTTTTTCTATTTTTCATAATGAAACTCTTATTGCTTTTTAATATTTTTACAAATTTAAAAGAAAAGGCTGTTTCAACAGTGTTCTTGGAGCTGATGTTCAAATGAATTTGTATCTAGAGTTGCCTTATGGAGGTGTGTAAGTGTACAGTATCTGGTTTGTGTATTTGTCAGGTCATTGTCCACTGATTCTTGTCCTTGTTTCAGGTAAAACCTCGATATTTTGTTTTTGCTTGTATCATGGTTCGTAAGGATGCTAGCACATACACCTCACCAGGTAGATATCAGCGACTTAGTCAAGAGGATGATGGATTTGTTGATGCTCAGTTCAAGGTATTTTGTTATTGTTTGCTATGTGGAGTCTGCTTCTTAAGTGTATAGGCTTATCTTATTTTTCTTTGCTAGATTATAAGCTTCCTTACACAGGAAACATGAGGAAGATTCTGGGAAAATACCATGTTCATTTTGTGCAGTTTTTAGAGTAAGTGATTAACAGTAGGAAGATTAGAATATCATAACTATGTAGTTAAAGCTGAGACAAAGCAGTATTGTTTAGAGTATACAAACCCTGGCACTGGATATTTGTTAATGCAAATTAAATAGAAATATTCATTGAAGCTCTGGTTGGATTATCACTGAGAGATGTGATTTATGAAGGTGGTTATATGACAGAGTGTGAGAAAGACGGTGAGCAGCGTGGCTGATTAGCAAAAAAAGGGCTAAAGCCATACAGTTCCTGGGTATTGGGAGCAATAAGGAAAGTAAGGACAACTCCAGTTCCACAGATCAAGAACCCTTCACTTGCATCAAGGCACCCTTTCCCCTTTACCCTCATGAAGGGTTGGGATTGCATAGTGGCATACCAATAAAAGTTTGATTTAGTGGACCATTAGGGTAGAGGATATCTGGTAATTCTGATTGTCCAGTAAATTCAAATATTGTTAAAAGTAGAAAAAAAAACAAAAAAAGAAGCTTTGGTGCTTAACTGTATAGAGTACATAATGCAGTACAATACACAGTTTGCAGTTATGCTGTGATAAATATTGAAAACAGAAAAATTAGAAGTACACCTACCATCCGACTTACGACCTGCTTGACATACGACCACCCGACTTACGACCGTGTTTTTTATGCCAAATTTCTGGGAAATAAACAAGTGTTTGTGTTGTACACAGTGTTTATCCTAAACCTTACAGTATACAATACAGTACTAACAGCATAAAAAGTAAAGTAAAACATGAAATACCAAAATAAAATAAAATAAAGTCATTACAAAAATGTTATGTTGATATTCAGTAGTAAAGTTCGACTTACGACCAGTTTCTCGGAACCGAACTCGGTCGTAAGTCGGATGGTAGGTGTACAATATAATTCTATTTTCAGTAGAGTAGTTTTTGTGGTGGATAGATGAAATTGTTTTGCCATGACAATAACAGACAGTTCTGTACTCAGCATACTTTTTTTTATTCCTGTGATTCACTTATTATTTTTTGTAACAATAATAGACATTTCTGTAACCAGTGGACTTTGCCGTTATTCCCAAATCAGTTTACTTAGAGAATTTTGTCTGCTATTTCCAAAATCCATTAAAAGGAGGTCTGTTAAATCTAGGTCTTATTGATATAGGTGTCAAAAGGCTTAAAATTACATGAAACATGCACTAAATGGATGAGATGTGAGGTAATTTTTGTTGAAATAGATGGGAGTATGTGAGGAGGGGTACACTGTGTAATGGGTTACAAAATACAAGAGTAATATTTAAAAAATTGCCCATTGTGTAAGATAAGATGGAAGATTAGGCAACTGGTACTCATCCTCTAACAGTAAGACTTTCTAATTGAATGTCAGTAATTTCTGGTTAGATATTGAGCATGAGTTCCCCGTCATATACAATGCAGTGTCTGTTTATGTTGGCCTCATCCCTTTCATAACTACATGGGTTCACTTAGAAATGTTTTGTAAATGCCTATTTTTTTTTATTTTTCAACTCCAGCCATGTCCCTCCGAGGTAGGGTGACCCAAAAAGAGAAGAAACACTTTCATCATCGTTCACTTTTATCACTGTCTTGCCAGAGGCATGATGATAATATAGTTAAGATGCTCCTCCAAACTGCAGATATCCCCACTCCTCCTTCAGAGTGCAGGCATTGTACTTCCCACCTCCAAGACTCAAGTCAGGTTAACCAGTTTCCCTGAATCCCTTCACAAATGTTACCTTGCTCACAACAGTTCATCAAGTCCCAAAAACAATTTGCCTCCACTCACACCTATTTAACACACTTGCACACATCTTCTGGATATCTAAGCCCCTCTCATACAAAACTTACTTTATTTCTCTCCCACCAACTTCCTAGGACAACCCTTGCCCTGCCTTCCCTCCACTACAGATTATATACCCTCCAAGTCATCTTATTTTGCTCCATCCTCTCTAAATATTGAATCCACCTCAATAACCCCTCTTCAGCCTTCTGGATAATACTTTTAGTAATCCTGCACCTCTTCATAATCTCTGCATAATATTTACATCATACATTGCCCTCAGGGAGCAGGGAGCTAGTACCCCCTTCTCCTGTATATATTACTAAATTTAAAAGGAGAAACTTTTGTTTTTCCTTTTGGGCTGCCCTGCCTCAGTGGGATATGGCCAATTTGTTGAAATAACACATTGCCCTCAGACACGACATCAACAATGCCTCCTCCTCTTCAATGCAACATTCACAGCCCATTCCTCACACCGATATCAGAGTATTGTACTCTTATACATTTCCCATTTTGCCTCCATGGATAATATCTTTCATGTCCACAGATGCCTCAATGCACCACTCACCTTTTTTTTCCTCATCAGTTCTATGGATCACCTTGTCTTTCATAGACCCATCCACCAACAAGTCCACTCTCAAATATCTGAACACATTCATGTCCTCCATGCCCTCTCCTTCCAATCTGATATCCTGTCTTTCATTACCTAAATCATATGTTACTCTCATCACCCCTGCTCTTTCCTATATATAGATGTTCACTTTTGATTTCCTTCTATTACATATCTCACAGACATGTCCACCAAATTTTGCAACTTCAGAATCTCCTGAAAGCACAGTATCATCAGGAAAAAGCAACTGTAACAACTCCCATTTTGTATGAGGTTCTGCATATTTTAATTCCACACCTCTCCCTGACACCCTAGCATTAACTTCTTTTACAACCCCATCTCTAAATATGTTAAACAACCATGCTTATGTATGCCATTTATTATGTATGCATCCTGAGCATCATATTGCCTTGTTCCTGTTGATAAAATAGTATCCAATTAACATTTAAAGTATCCTGACTCTTGTACTTAAAACTTGTTTTCTTGAAATTTTCAGTTTTATAATCGGGATTATGTATGGTCCTGGTTCTTAAAATGTGCTTATCTGAGGTTCTGTAACTCAAAAATTCTGAGTTTTGAAGTCTTATTATGCAGAATCTTGATTCCTGAAGCTTATAACTGATAAAATTAATTCTCAGGCCATTTTTTTTAACTTAAAAATCTTAAGTTTTAGGCCTTTATTACTCAAAAGAGATATTTTGCAATGATTTGCTACATTTAGTTTGCAAATGTAATGATTTGTTGCTCAAAATCTTGATGCTTTAAGCATTTTCTATGAAAATTCTCATTTTCACAGAGTAATGTATAACAATGAATATTATAATGGACTTGCACCTCTCATGGTTTATCTGTCATGATAAATGAGCTTGCAAGTTAGGCCATGACATATTGGAAGATAATTGCAGCTCTGTGCTGACCACTACTTTCCCTCCTTCGCAGGCCGGACCTAGTCGCATTCCTTGGAAGGCCATAAGCTATGCAATGCTTCTGTTTGCGGCTGGTACCCTCTTACTCGTCATAGGGAGTCTGCTAGTCGCAGGTTACATAGAGGAAAAATATGCCGACCGAACATGGCCGCTCATCATTCTCGGTGCCCTGATGTTTATTCCAGGGGCCTATCATTCTTATATAGCCTATTATGCCTTCAAAGGATATGATGGATATTCTTTTGATGACATTCCTTCATATGACGATGATTGAATGACATACAAAAACACTGCGATAGTTGTATCAAGATGAGTTTTTGAAATTTGTATATTTTTGCATAGCTGTACATTCTTGACAGTAACAATGGGGAAATTAAGTCACATTATGAAAATACACTAATTTTATTTTGCCAGGCCTTTGTAGCATGGTCAGTTTTGTATGAAAAATAAGAGATACCATATCATTAGGTTGTCTATGGTAAATATCCCTACTGAAGATTTTGTCTCTATTCTTGGAGAAAGTTTCCTTGATTTATTTATTGTAAAATTAGTAAAAAAAAATTAATCAATTTGCTCGTTTATACCAACATTTTTAATTCTTCTTAAATGTAGAAGATGCATGTGACCTAGAACCTGTTTTATAGCAGTCGGTTCTGAATGTAAGCTGTCAGTTTAACGAATTTGTAGGGTAAAAAGTGGGTGGCCGGTACTGATGATTGTGTTAGATGGAGGTTAAATTGTTTTGCTGTGATTTTAACAATAATGGACAATTTTGTAAGAGATGGACTTTATACAGGGTTTCCAAACTATTCGACCCATATTTCCGAAGCCCGTTAAATTGAGGTCTGTTAAATTGAAGTCCATTAAATCGAAGTTGGTTAAAGCAAGGTCTGTTAAATTGAGGGCTTACTATAATTACTATTTCTTGTTATGCAGATTTTTTTCTTTTTATGAGTATCATAAGGAGAGAGAAGAAGTCAATCATTAAAGATGTACAGTGAACCTAGAGTGATATTTGGAGCTTCATGTATGCAATGCACGTGTTCAGTTTGTGTCTTGAATTTTGGAATTTATTTTCCTGATCCCCATAACTTATCATTAGGATGCTTGAGAGGTATGGGAAGTATTCTTTTAAGTCATAGCTGAGGAGCAGGAATCACCATAGCTTGTTTCGTATTTTTACAAAGCAACATTACAATATGCATGCAGAAATAATGTGTGATATACTGGTAGGTAGATATTTATGACAGGTGGGAATAGACACTGGTAGTGGAGAATTTTTTTAATATTACATTTTGTTCAAGTTAACCGGACTTGAGTCCTGGAGGTGGGAAGTACAGTGTCTGCACTCTGAAGGGGTGTCGATATGTTGCAGTTTTTTAACTGTAATGTAGGCATGCCTCTGCAAGACAGTGATGAAGTGAATGATGATAAAGTCTTTCTTCTTTTTTGGGTCACCCTGCCTTGGTGGGAAATGGCCAGTATGTTAATAAAAAATAAAATAAAAACATTTTTGCTCAAGGTCTGGCTAAATTATA